CTATACAATATGGTGACTAACTAATCTGATCACTGGAGTGTGGATAGCTACATCCAACTCACCCAGAAAAACTTATTGTATCTAGGGAGTGTTTTGTCATCAAAATGGCTTATTTTTCTCTTATCAGCCAAATTAATAGAATTTATGATTTATTTAATTAACCTACTTTGAATTTTATTTATTGAAACAAAAGGAGACATCTTTTTTTTTTCTTTTTTTTTTTTATACAATGATGTACAAGGCTCAAGAGCCACATAGGGTAGAGGCTTAAAAAGCACCACCCCAAGCAAAGTTGAAATTCCTAGGGCGCATAATGAGGAAATAGGGGTTAGAGAATTTGATACTTACAGGATGTATTGAAGGCATTAGGTGCAGAGGAAAGCAGTGAGTAACCTCCTAACAAGCTTGTGTAATTAATTGGCAGAAAGGAGATGAGGATAGTTACCAAAAAGACAAACTTTGCTAACAGCTACACAGGACAGGAAGTTATGGAGAGCTATGATTGCTCATATCCTTAAGGGACATGGCATAGAGAAGTTTTAACGTACAGGTTGGCCATCACCAATCTAGCAATCCAGTTCAATCAATAATCCAGCACTGATTTCCTCAAGAATTTTCATAGACCAAATAGTAAGTGTTAAAAGGTATAGAATTTTTTTTTTCTTAAGAGTTTTTCAGAGAATCACACTTCTCAAGTCCACTAAATTTTATCAATCTTTTTAATATTGATGGGAGTTTCCTTCCTAACATTTTGTTTAAGGTAGTGTGGAAAGTTAGTGAAATCATAATAAAGTAATTTGACAGTTTTAAATATTTTCATAATCATTTATTTCATATTAGACATCTGTTAGATTTTCCAAATATTCTATTAAAAAAATATCAACACTGCTTACTTTTGTATGTTACTAACATTTACTCAAAAGGTTTGATGTAAAAGAAGGTCATGACTTATGATTTCACAATTGCTAGGGAAGTTGGTTCACTGTGTTGTGCTAAACAATTTTTCTTGCCAGAATCTTCCACATTTATAAGTCTACCATTCTGCCATGCATTGGATATTGCTGCAACATCTATTCTGGTGCTTCTATGTATTTAGAGATTCTTGATAAAATATAAAAAGATCTGCAATTGGTCCTGACTTGGTATCATGGTTTCAGTCACTTTCCCACCACCATAATATAGATTCTTTGTGCATTTTCTATAAATATTTTCATGATAATTGTGATGAGACTTACATTTTGGTACCTCAACTTTACAAATTTAAGTGCAGTACTAGATTGGCAGCTAGGTTTCATCATTTTACAGTTGAAATGGCTAGATGTAACTATAACTTCTATGCTAACAGTTTCTTTCTTGGCTGATAGTGCTGTATTAACGATTTTTGAGCACTTTCAAGCACTGTTAAGAAACTTCTATTTGTCTTTTGTGAATTTTTATTGTAATCTGTTGAAATTTAAACAGTCATATCTCCAATGATAACTTAATCCAGATATTCAGATTCAGACAAATTATCTATTCTCCAATATATATAGTGTATCTTTGTATGCTTATCAGCCACACAGCCTGATCTTCTTTACTAATGCAATATCTCATTGTTATGGTAACAAGCTTTACTTGATGCCAATAAACATGCCTTGGGTTTGCATATTAACAAAATATTTGTAAATACTGAGAATAGATTGTTAATTTATTGCTTTTTATTTTATATTTTTTGTTAGCTTTCCTTGGATATTCTTATAGGATTTAAAAGCCAAAATCTTTTCTTAAATATGACAATAGTTAATAAGTATAGCTAAAACTCATGCATTATTCATACTTTAAAAAAAGGTACTTCTTGAAATGTCATATCTGTATTTCATTTAAATTTCAGTTGATTTTTATTTAATTTTCCTTTTTCTTTATTAACCAACATGTACTGATGTACAGTGTATTTTGAACTCTTGGCCAAACAATAAACGAGGTACCTCCATTAATTCGGTATATGTAAGGTTTAAAATATTTTTTTAAAATGAAAAAGCTTTCTTGAAGCTTTCATTTTAGTTTTAATTGAAAGCTAAAGTATTTAAAATTTACTATTTCCAGTAAGCAAAATACTCTGTGGTCCATTTCAAACAAATTATATTGATTGGATTGTTTGTGATTTACAACAAAAGCAATGAAAACAGCCATTTTGACACATTTGTAAACAAAAGTTAATTCTTGGTTTTAAAAATCTTGCAAAAATAAAATATATATTTCTGAAACATTATTTGAGGAAGATTGGCAAATTTGAAGTTGAATTAATCTGATTTGAAACAAATATTACTTACTTATAGCATAAAATGTATACAAGCATTTCTTAACCACCGGGTCTTGTTTTGCTGACGTATTAATTGATTCATTGACAGCTGAATGACCACCGAACATGTTTATTAAGTATGGTGGAGCAGACAAAGTTTATGAGGGTTTTCTTTTTTCACCCATAAGGGAGGATGACCCTTAAAATACATGACCTTTTAATGATAATGTTATAGATTGAAAATCCATACTTAGAAATTCTGCACATATATCACACATACAAAAACAAGTCAAAATTCTTTTAAAAGTATTCGTGTTTGTCAGATTGTAATAAGCTGCTTTACAATATATGATTAATAAATATAGTTTTACTTCATAATAATATTTCCTAAGAGTTAGCACATTGAAACTGAATTTTAAGATTGAAAAACTTTACAAATTATTCAATTTAAAATTGTAAAAAATGAAAACAAATCTTGTAAAATTTATTTTTCATTGAAAATTTTTTTATTTTTCTTCAAACAATATTGTCTTTAATATATATTATTCATAAAAGCAATTAAAAGCTTCTAATTAAATGTCTTATTAAAAGGTAGGATGAAGTGGTAAGCTATTGAGATAAGTGTATTCTAATGTAACCATCATTAGTATTAATTATCTTTGCCAACTCCGTGATCAATCAACAGAGCAAGACACTGATCAGAATGACCAATGCAAGCATCAGCATTGGCCAGGGACTGACCGGCAAGAAGTGTTACATTGTAAACTTTTGTTAATACAACCAAATCACTTATCAAGCACTCAGTGCCGAAGGATTAACAATAGCCAAATTATAATATAAAAAAAAAAAGAAAAAAATGATGGTAACGTTAATTTTTTGATAGTATTAATAAAAATAAACATTATTTTTTATATATTATTCTCCAAGCAGATATTTTTAAAAAAGTTAGTGGCACAAATTTGTTGATACTCCATTCTGAAACCTAACTTTTCTCGGACAGTTTTTCATTTCAAATTAAGTATACAAGTTGACTGAATTTGTCAGTTTCCATGCTTCTTTGCCGGAGACAATCTGTGAAAGATTAGCAAGTGTAGTCTTAAAAGTTCATCTTGTCTCCAAATTTTATTGCAGGACGTTCTTGTTACAAACACTGTCATTCCACATTCTTAATCAGAATTTTAAACTTTTAAGAGCAATTTAATTGTTGGCTAATGAACTTAATTTGTCATTCAGTAATTAATATTACTAATACTCTAATTAATGATATAATGACTTTATTAAACTGTTCTCTGCAATCATCTTGATGTTGGCACTTATTACTTTTCATCATTATAAATGTTGTCTATTAATGATTAGACTATATGGCATTTAGAAACAGAAAAAAGAAACGAAAAGAGAGTAAGAGATTGTTTATAAGTATTTCTATCTTTATAAATATGATTACTACGCAACATTGAGTCAAAGACTGCATTTACTTACATTTTTCATTTCATCCCAGCCAAAGTGATAAACCCACTAAGATGCAAAGGGTTACTGAGATTGAAAAAAAAAACTGATTAAATGTGAAGGAAACAGGACAATAAAAACAAAATAGGATCAAAGAAACAGAAGATAACAATTGACATTGCATTTAATTTTTTTTAAGTTTGTAGTTGACAGGAAAACAAGAAGCTCTTCTAGCTTCCACATGCAAGAAGTACAAAAGAAACCATTAGAATAGACCTTGTGGTTACATTTAGCAATTTCAATTGTAAAATGAAACCTAACTGCAAATCTAGCATTACGCTCAAATTGATGAAGTTGCAGTACCAAAGAGGAGAGCTCATCTGAACATTTGCCATGAAAATATTTATAGAAAAGGCAAAGGGAAGCTTCCCACAATGTAACTGAGAACCATCAAAGCCTGATGGTATTGAAAGGTTCTTGAGGGGCTGCCCTGATCTAGTGAGTATAAATTTATGGTTCTGAAACTCAAGAGCATCATCTGCTGAGGGCTTTGTTGTGGAATACCACTGCCTTCATTGCAGTAGTTGTATAAATAAATTTACATCATGATGCAGTGGCACCGAAACCCAAGGTTATTGTTTGAAGTGAACTTTGTTGGAGCCAAACTCTCTTTATTCTGTGTTGGTTCCAATCTTGTCGGAATGACTGCTAAGGACATCTCCACCCCAAATTTATAGACAAATGTGACAGATGCATGCAGGGATTTCTTCCTAACCAATAAAATATAGGTGGTAAACCAGGCCATAAAAGCATTGATTACCAAAATAAAAATTGCAATTTTTTAGTAAATGAGCCATGACCATATCGTATTAAAACACCAGTTCTTTTATGATCACCAAAGTTAAGCAATGTCAATACCTACAGAGGTGACTCCTTGGGAATGCCAAATGCTGTAAGCTTGAATGATTGGGTGGTGTAATTGATAATGGCTCAGAATTGGAAATCAGAGCTGAGTTGCAACTCCAGTCCACCTCTTCCCCCCCAGCTATGGGTTAATTAGTATTACCTGTATATGTAAATCATTATTATCTCCCCCTCAAAATATTTTCTGGTTTTAAATAACCTGCAAAAAACAAAATCAATCAATTGATGTGCAAGTAACACAATTACATAAATTCTTTTTAGGGTTGAATTTGTTGGAATCAAATTTCTTCTTTTTTTTTTTAAATTCCTCTTCTGTTTATTGATATTTCCTTTGTTTTTGTTTTCATTTTAGTTTGGTAAAACAAAGATTGAACTTCATGAAAAGAAGCAGCATCCAGATGAAGATTCTGAAGATGAAGATGAATGCCTTAAATCAACTGATGAAAAAGGTGAATATAACTTTCTTTTTTTTTTTTTTTTCTCTTAAAAAAAAAAAAAATGAATCTTTATTGTGCATGGATTAGTTATTTGTTTTTAATCATTTCATCCTAAGAAAAGCAATAAAGTGACTAAGTCATGCAAGGGATTACTTAGTGTGAAAGAATAAGAGAAAAAGAAACACATTATTAGGAGTGAGAACAATAAAAGAATTGTGTGGCATCCATCTCGAGAAACCTTGGATCTGTGCCCAACGAGTTATGCTTCTGCTTCTGATGGCAGTGCAGCATTTGTTATGGCTGTACAGGCCCACACAGGAGTGACAGTCTTGATTGTAATGAATGCATATGAAGACACTCTCTCCTGGTGTTGCCTTGTTGTTTTCTTTCTATCAAGTATGTTTCTCCTCGGTAGCAAGTTTGTTTCTCTTCTCCTCGCTCTATCCCTTGGTGTAAATTGCATCTGTCGTATGAGCAATTGTTGTCTTACCACCTCTTGATGTCCATCATCCTCATGCTCCTTTTGCAGATGTCCTTGAAGTGAAGATCAGGTTACTTTTGTGCCCTCTTGCCGGTTGTCAGTTCCCCATACAAAAAGACTTTCAGAATCCTCCCATCTGGTATATGGTGTACATGCCCAAGTCAGCAGAGCCATCACTGTTGGGGAAAGCCATATAGGCTGGGTAACTCAGCACAAGTTAGAATTACAGCATTAGTGACCCAGTCAAACCAATTGATGTCTAGAATGCGTCTTGGACACTGAAGATGAAAGGTGCATCTCTCCTGTCTGTAGTAGAGGCTCCAGGTTATGTTGCCATAGAGCAGCATGCTAACTCTGTATGCCGTATAGACTGCAATTTTGGTGTTTGTAGTAAGCTTTCTGGTCTCCCAGATTCTCAAGCTCAGCCTGGCTAATATGGTGTCAGCTTGCTTGATCTATCTGTTGACCTCATTGTCTAGGGAGAGGCTGTCTGAAATGGCAGAACTGAGGTATATGAATTCCTGAATCACCTCCAGGTCATAGCTGTTGATTTTGATGGCAGGAGGCAATAAAATAATAAAAAAGTTAGAACAAATTTAGTATAGGAGATGAAGAAATTAAACATGGAATAAGATGTATCAAGGGTAGTTTTTCTCACCAATACAAGATTCTACAAAACATTAACTTAAGAACTTACCATTTTCTTAAATAGCCTTGTCAGATCTAGACTCTCGTGTGAATGTCATGCATAGCATCCAACTCATTAAAAAGTGCCTAAACTGTCAGCTCTATACATCTGTTTTCTCAGCTCAGTGATAAAAATGTCTTCAAGTGAATGAACCCTGTAGTCCTTAGAACTGACCAATCTTCATCAGATCTTGTGGACTGGTGCTACAGAATCACAAAGAAGTTTATCAATTAACAAACCACATCACTTGAAGGCATTCATCAGCATCAATAATCAAAATGGATAGCACATGTAATTCAAACAGAAAATGATGACATATAAAAAAAAGTTGACTTTCCACATAACCATAAACAAAAGGTTAGGAAGGAAGCATCCATCAATGCTAGAAAGAGCAATAACTTGAAAAACCTGTTTTACTGAAAATAACTGTTTTGAGAGAAATATTTTATCAGTTTCAACCAGTAGTAATGCCAACTGTTCAGTCAATGAATACCAAATATTTCCATATAAGGAAGCTGCTAATCTCACCATTGTTGTTATCTATTCCTCTTCTTTGGACAGTTCTGCATTATTCTTTGACAAAGGTTTAACAATCATCCTTTTTTTGGAATTCAAGAAATTATACTGCTTGAGCTAGCACATTTCATCAAAGGCTTCACTTATGTACTTAACTGTCTGGATCTCTATGAGCATTATAGAGGAACTGATGTGCCATAAAATAATATTCAGTCCTAATCAGATATTTGGCTATTTGATTGAGGCTCATGGCTATTTTAAAGTTGTAATAATCACTCTTTTGTATAAGAGTTGATACCATCTCCAATCAATCTTAGCCATGAATATTTTATGTTTAGATAGGAGATGAATTTGGTAAGTTTTCAATTAACAAAATAGTTTTGCCAGGTTGTAACTTATAGAATCAGGAACAAGGAAGTGCTAACATGTAAAAATTCTAGAAATCTTATTGTAATGGTGGCAGATAGGTGAATACAATTCACTGGCCATATCCTCTGATTAACTGACAATTGTTCAGTCAAAGTTGCAAAGACCAAAGGGTCATCCTAAAAGGACATGGCACACTACAGTTAAAGAACTAAGAAAAAGAAACCCCACTGATTCTAAACTTAACAAACTTGCCCAGGATCGATATAAGTTGAGGAAAATTGTGGCCCCTTTTGCTGTGTGACAGAGAAACAATGGAGTAAGGTATAAAAACAAGAGAAAAAAAAACAAAACTTGTCAGTGGTTTTTAATCTAACCTTACACATGTAATACATACTGGATACGTCAAGGCTGCAAAAGACCAAAGGGCCGTCCTAAAATGACATGGCACACTACAGTTAAAAAAGAATAGAGAAAAGGAAATGCTAACTGATTCCAGGCTCTGTGACTTGCCCAAGATCAATCTAAAGGGAGGAAAATTGTGGCCTTTTACTGTGCAACAGCTGGAGGAATAAGGTAGTCCCATAAAAGCATAATTATTTCCTAACAAAGAAGTTGGTTGAGTCAAAAAAAACCCAATTCTTCTATGAACACTGAAAATCAATGTGAAATCTCAACCTTCTAACTACAGGACTGAATGTCTGTGACAGAAAATTGTCAGAACAGATATTTGAAGTATTCCACAGCAAAGTTGGCATGTTCACACCATCTGTTAACATGCTCTACCAAACCTGTTATTGGGAGGCACAATCTGCCAACCTCACTGTGTAATACTTCAAATAAAATACTTCAATAAAAATCAGAAAATGTTTTATGAATTGGAGAAAGGAAAACAGTCAATTTCTGTGGCAATTTTACCAAGTTATATAGTTAAATAGCAGTCTTTTAATTTTTATGAGGAAAATATAAATGAAACTATAATTTGGTAAAAATTTCAGTCGTAAATTCAACAGTTTATGCTGCTTTTTAATGTCAGTAAAGAACGTTAAAAATTTGAGATTTTACTATGGTGGTTCTAGATTTTCATCAATCAAATGAATATCATTAATTTGAATTTTTATTTCACTGCACTTAGTTTAGTTTCTATAGGTGGCAAAATACTCACCAAAAACCGCAATAGCCATTTTTTAAACTTACTAGACTGCCTATAAACCCATTGAGTTCCTTTTTAAAAGCAGTTCATCATACAAAATGATGAGGTAACAATATTATCAATTTTATTATTAATTACACATTTTAATTTGTATTTGCAATACAAGTTATTGTAATAATTATTATTACTATATTACATAGATCAAATACAATAAAATTAATAAGAAAATGTATTTTTTTAGAAAAGAAATACAAACTGATATCACACTAAAGGCCTTTCCATTCAAGTAATAGTAGCCATGGGGTGATAATTTGTACCAATTTTAGTATTTACCATATATTTTTTAAAGGTGAAGGTCATTCTAAAAACAAACTAGTGGCAATTGTCTGTTAGGGAGATTCATATTTATTGAAATATGGTGAACTATTTTTTGTGCACTTTTTTTTTTTTTTTTTTTTTTTTTCAAAATAATTTTTTTATGTACACTTTCTTCCTCACATTTATTTAAAAATATGTAATGCTGGTAAACCAGCATGCATCTATTTATTTATTTACCATCAAGTCATGTAACACAATTTTCCAGCCATACATATGTTTTACTATGACACATCCATATAGCCTCTCCACCTATCGAGTAGTTGTCAAACATCTGAAATATTTGTTTATAAAAAGTTCACATGTAATGAATTATATAAATGTTGTGCTATGCATATTTAAATTTATCTAATGTTATTATAATGTATTATGAATGTTTATTATTTTTCACACAATAGTTTGATGTAATATGCAAGTGTTTATTTATATATGCAGATTGATATAAGAATGCATATTGATGAACAAATACTGTATTTCCTATTAAAATACTGTTAAAAACAGAAAAACAGCTCTAGCTGAATAACCCCTTGTCTAATCAAATTTGGCATTGCACTAGGTAATTCAATATACTAGTTGTATCATGTATTGTTTAAGCTGTATTTCAATTACATACATACATACATACAAGATTAGAGTTTTAATATTATATAGAAAAGTATAAAACTGAGGTAAACCAAAATCAGTAATTTTTATTCTATGTATCAGTCTTTAGCAGTGTTTCTCAATTGGGTTTTCTCTGAAATTATAACGATCCACGAGAGGCTACTAGGAGTTCCAAAAGAAACATTTATAAATAGGCTTGTGTATTTTGAGTAATTTTATATTTATAATTTAACTGACATTTTGTTGAAAAATCCTTGGTTATTATAATAAAGGCTTCAGCCCGTTATATTATTATTTTTTAAATTTATAATAATGATAGGGAATATATTTAGCAATTTCTATATGGTGTTTTTATGAAATTTTTATGCATTGTTTCCTTAAGATATAAAATCTATTTCAAGTGTTTCACAGGGTTAGAAAGGTTGATAAACACTAGTCTACAGGAACATCAAATTTCAGCCAGCTATCATCTCTAGATTCAAAGTTACAAAGTGCTGAATTTAGAAAGCCATGGGGTGACAATTACCCAGAAATTTAAGCAAATTTCAACAGGTCATAAGTTTTCTGTTTCTCTAGGGTATGTTTTACAGTAAAATTTCATTAAAATCTGAGATAGTTACCATGGTAACTCAAAATTTTGTTTGAAATATGAAATTATGCATATATATATTTAGTTTCTTATCAAATAGATTTTGCTTTTATGTTTTATTTTTATAGCATAAAGTTGGAAAAAACATGTACCATATATACTCATTTTTAAATTTCTTTCATTTTTTGAATTTTCGGAATTTCTTTTGGCAAAAAACATGATTTTTATTTCATATATCTTGTGTATAATGCGACCCAGTTTCTAGTAGACCTACTGTAGTTAAATATTGCAGTACTGGGCCTCGTCCTGGACATATTTTATAGCAAATAAATGGTCTCCATTCTTTTTTGTACAAAGCTACCTTAAAATCGTGAGAAAAAACGCTTACTGTAAAATATTTGATATGATTTAAATACCATACTTTTTTCATTCATCCTTGACTATGGTAGCTCCTTTATCCTGGGCCTGCCTCTTATATAGCCTAAGTTTCTTCCTTTTTGTTATTAATTGAAGAGCAAAACCTCATCCACTATGTATGCAACTTAAAATCAACAAATACCTTATATAAATCAAGAATTAATAGATTTTTTCTATCTTAAATTTGCATTCATCTTTGTTTTTAAAAGTGTTTAGATCACTGAGATATTTTTACCTTTCCAATGACAACCTTTTTGTTAGGATTACCAGTACATAATGTAGGGTGTCCCATGAGTTGAGGTATACACTTTGGGTTATGATAATTCAAGTCATTTTCAGTAAAAAGTGCTCTATACACATTGTTAATTCTTCATTTATACAAGATGTTTGTAGATTTTAAATGGCATATGTACTGAATGATGTTCTGCTACTCTTGTAGTAACCGAAAGAAAGAATCTAGGCTATAGGAGGCAGGCTAAAGGAGCTTACCTGTACCATTAAAGTTACCTAAAGGTACTGTGAGAATGTAAGCCTACCAGATAGGTTATGGTCACCAAAAATGCTCTATTTGAATATTAACTTGTGGACGTTTGGTGGGCGATGAGCAACTGAACAGAAAATGATTTGCAAGTGAAGATTTTGGCAGGTGATATAGAATTTTGAGTATTAAAAAGGTATTTCAACATATGCAACCCAATTTCACTCACAAGGCTTAGGTCAACTCAGGGTATGGTTTTCAGGCACTTTCCAAAGGTGCCACATGCTGGGATCGTCCCCCCACTCCAGATTGATAACATCAAGAAGTCTCCTTCCTGACAAATTGACCATGGTGAGATTCGAACCCGGGTCTCATGGTCAGAATGTGGATGTTCTAACCACTCGGACATGTGAACAAAGATGAACAAAAATTGGAGAAAGGAACAAAAAAAAAAACATTGTTAATTCTTCATTTATAATGTATTTGTACATTTTAAGTGGCACTTAATGTTCTGCTGCTCTTGTAGCAACAGAAAGAAAGAATCTAGGCTAAAGGAGCTTATTTGTACTGTGAGAATGTAGGCATGCCAGGTAAATTAGTCACCAAAAATGCATGATTTTTAACCTCTTCAAAAAAAAATTACCTGTGTATAGTGTGGCCCTCTATATTTTTTTTTTTTTTTTTTTTTTTTTTTTAAAAAAAAACTGATCATAAAATTCACTATACTCAAGTACACATAAAGAAAATGAATCAAAATATTTCCCAATTGACAACTAAAATATTCCATCACGTGAAAACTTCCCTCTTTAAATTACAATTCCTGTTTTTTGCATGAAATCTCTAGACCAGTGTTTCTCAACCTTTTTAACCAATGGCACACTTAGCAAAATTTTTAAAGGCTATACATTTAAATGCTATGAAATAAAACCATAGCTTTTTTTAAAAATACACACACAAATATGAACTTTGAACTATTTGTACATCTAACTACTACTACTCCTCACACACACATATGCCGTGACAATATTTCACAGCACATTTAAGAGGATTGCAGCATTGCAGTTAAGAATCATTCTTGTAGACAAAGAGAATCTTACCATATTTTCTAGTGTCAAGGATGCAGTTTTTTGTTTTTTTTCCTGAAATAAGTCCTGAAAAGTTGCATAACATCAGGAATTCTGGAATAACCTTGCTCTGGTATTAACATAGGTATACAGAAACCCTAACATTTGTCATGAAGGATGCATGACAAATTTTTGAGACTTATTTCAGGAAAAAAAAAACTGCATCCCTGACCCTGGGAAATATGGTAATTGCTTGTTTACTAATTCTGTTCAACCTAAGGTATTTAGCAAATATATCTTAGTTGCTATGTAGACACTCTTTGTTTATGTTGCTCTGGACTTAAGAAATCAGGCTAACTTCATTTGATTGAAATGTTAAATAGTTTGAATAATTGAACGTTTTCTTTTATCAGGAGAGCTACTTTGATTTTTCAATTCTTATATGAGGAGAGGGGCTTAGTTATCAAAATATTTCCCTGGCATTATTTTTCATATTTGACTTTTTTCTTTGTATTTCACGCATTGTTTTTTGTCTTTTTTTTTTTTTTTCCAAACTTGTGCTCTGAATGCACCTTCTTCCAAACTTTTTCACTCACTCTCTGTCTCTACTCTCTGCAGTCCCTCACACTCTAAGTGCTTACTTTCTATGCCCTCTCTGTCTCTCTCTTGCGTGCTCGCTATGTCCACTCTTTTTGCATGCTCGCTATGTCTCTCACACACTGCACATACAGTCACTTTCTATGTAGTCTCTTGTTTTATATGCTCACTCTGTCTACACACTCACTCTCTACATCATCTCTCTCTCTCATTCTACACTCTCTTATGCTTACTCTTTGTCTAAGCATTGATAACCACAATAAGAAATGAAAATTTGATTTGCTTCATTGTCATTTAGATTCATAACAAAATCTTTTAATATGATTTAAGTTCATGAGAATCTACTAAGGCAAAAAAAGCAAAAGTTTGTAGCAGAATAAATGTTTTAAGATTGATTTCATCTTGACACTATAATTGGATCTTTTTTTTTTTTCTTTTTTTTTTCTTTTGTTTTTATTCTGCAGGTTCCCATGTCATCGAAAGGGAAATAGCAATTTCTGCAACTGAAGGCATCAAACTTCCTGATATTGCTGCCATTTCTGAATCTCTTAAACATGAATTTCACTTATCTGATGTCATGTACTTTACCAAGTGTGGTGTGGAGGTTAGTCTCAATTGTAAAATGTCCTCCCTTTTTTATTTTTAATATAAATTCATTCATTATTCATAGGGAACAATTTTTTTTAAATTTTTTTTTTAAATTTATTTTTTGTAAACAGTATAATATACTTGCTTCTGACTTGGTTGATTTTTTAGCTATTTATTCATTTTATTTTTTTGTTTGAGCTGATCTGCTTCCCATTTGGAATCGAACACTTTTGGAATTTCTGCATTTAGGATTTGTCCTAATGTTACCATATATAGGGACAATTGTCATTTGTTACCCATAAGGCTTTGTAGAGCTTGGTGAAAGTAAATTTTAAAATATGGGTCAATTTGGGTTGTTTGACCCGAAATGTGATCTTTGAGATATAAATAAAATCCATGAAAGTAAATTGTTTGATTTTAAGCCTTTTGGATAAGAGGTTGTATATTTTTCCAAAATGTTAGCTAGAAATGAGAAAAATCAATTCTGAACTCCTTGATTCAAAATACCAAATGTAACTAAACTTATTTCATAACAGCATATACTTAGCCCCAACTTGAATGCCCCTAATCTTTTAAGAGATTTTAATTGTTAAATCCCTCATGTCCTAACTGAATTGTTAAAAAATCTGAATATGTGATATTAGCATAATTAAATTGATATAGCTCAAAAACCATTGAAAATCAAGTATTGTTAGTTGATTTTTATATAAAAGTATATTGATTAATCTTTCTAAATTTAGCCTCTTTGGTATTACTAGTTATAAGATATATAGTTTTGATGAGTGAGGAGCGATAACTGGTTAGCTCATTGTTTTTTTCTTCTTTTTTTTTTTCTCTTTTCACATTAAACTACCATAGTTGCATCCTGGATAAGACTATAAACTATATCCACATCCCGGGTAAGATAAGCTGTGTCCAACAGCAGGGTCTCTGATCAGGAGGTTTAGAAGACTGTGAAGCCACCTCTTGGTTGCTGGGGTTCCTGGGTCTGTCCTGACCTGGGGTGATGGCACCTGTTGGGGTCCCAGCTATGGGCAAGTGGTTGACCCCCAGATAGGGGTCAGAGTACTGTGGAGGTGTAAAAATAGGTATTAATATCAGCAATACTTTTCTGGGGTGGGGGGAATTATTACCAGCAATACATTTTTGAAGAAAAAGTTATTACCAGCAATATAGTTTTGAAGGAAAATTTATTATCAAAGATACAATTTTGAAGAAAAAATTATTACTAGCAATGCTTTTGTGAAGGAAGAATTATTGCCAGCAATACCTTTTTAAAGGAAAATTATTACAAACAAAATATTACCAGCAATACATTTTTGGAAAAATATTACCTGCAATAGATTTTTGAAGAAAAATATTACCAGAAATAGATTTTTGAAGGGAAAAAAACAAACATTACCAGCAATAATTACTATGAAAGTGTGAAAATAGGTTTTAATACCAGAAATACTTTATAAAAAAAAGTATTACTAGCAATTCATTTTTTGAAGGAAAAATATTACCAGAAATAGATTTTTTTTAAGGAAAAAAATTACCAGCAATACATTTTTGAAAAAATATTATAAGCAATAAAAATTGTCAGCATTAAATAACCCATTGAGGTTGATATGCATAAAATAAACCATACCAAACCTACCATAGTTATTTTCCCCTTTTTGTACTTCTTTCAATTATGTTCGTTCTTTTTGCTATAATTGGATTTTATGTCTAATAAGGTTTCTTAAATTTACAACTAGTGAACTCTCCCATCCAGTTCCTTCATTAGTCACTGTTTTTGCCTGTGGCAAATTTCAAACTAGCATGATTTATTTGCCACCATTTAGCAAGCTTATTTAAGATTTATTTCTCACCATCTTGAACAAGCTTATTTAGTATCTGTCATACATTAGTTGGTGACAACAGAATTAGTCTACTCCTCCACCTTTGTTTTGGTTGTCCTCCACTTCTTTCTCCAGGTACCATATTATAATTAAAGGCCCAAAACTTTATTTTTCAAGCATAAATTGGTGAACTTATATAGTATAGTGGGCCATAGATGTTCTTGTCTATTTGTCAAGAGATACAGGTGCTTAATACTATTGTTCTTAAAATACCAACAGAAACCGTTTTCTTATTTCTTTAACCTTATATTTTGTGTTTCTTTAGGCAATCATTGAAGATGAAGTCACAAGTCGATTTACTGCTGAAGGTAAGTTGGGTTTAGCATACCCCCCCATTTCTTGAGTTATTGGCAAGTAGTAGAGGTTGCTTCGTTCCCATTAGCAAAATATTTGCTTATTTTTAAAAAAAAAAAAGTAAGAAACCTAATAAATACTTACTATTTGTACCCCCCTCCCCATTTCAGCTGGGAATAGTAAGAAATATAAATATATAATATAAAAATAAAGAAAGAAATACAATTCAGGCATATAAGTGTATTTAAGGCACAGAAAGCCCCTTCTCTTGATTCCAGCTAGGAATATGTTGTGCCATAGTACCTATTCTATTGTAATGGACTCTCCCATAGATAATAAGTAGGAGTAGCAGTGGCAAGTCTGCAGAACGGTGTTGAGCACGTCAGTCGAGATTCGGACATTTGAAATACCAACCATCATAACTAGATTTGCTGCGTCATTGACTCTTATTTTCCAAGTTCCTAACATTTTGTACGTCGGACCTAATTTAGGACGACTTATTAGAAATACAAGCCTCCACTGTGAAAAAACTCCACAACAGAATATTTAAAAATATGCGAAAGGGAAATAATATCATTTCAGGTACATAGTGTATTTGATGGCATATAAGACCCCCTATCCTCATTTCAGTTGAGAATGTTAAGAAATATAATAACATAATAGAATATAAAAATAGTGAAGGAATGATATTTTAGTCATATTACCATATGGCTAAAATTTATGCATTTATACCACCATGCTTGGTGGTATATATAAAGCCCCTCTTTTCTTTCGGCAGGGAATATTTAGAAACATTGTGGGATAGTAGATTAAATGTTTCTAGAACTTAAGTCCTCTTCAGAGTTAAAAACACATTTCTTTTTGTACATTTTTTATAAATTCATAAAACTTTAATATTTGAAGAAAAAAAATGGGTTTTATATGCCATCAAATATCATCTTTAATTATTATCAAACTAATAAAAAATAATGGAGATCCAGTTTAACCTTTTAGCATTTAACCACCCCATAAATATCGCCTGTCAATGTTCTACCTGCCGTATGTATACTCTGCCATGACATTTTAAATAATGCAGAGAGTCACGCAAACAGTGAGTCTTTGACTACATAAAGTGAAACTTTGAGAGCCAATATTTTCAGGACAGGTTTGAGCAGTATAAATTATAGGTGGGCTCTTTGGGTTTTGAATAAATATGCCTGAGCAGGTGTCTTCAACAGGGATTGGTTAGCCACCTTAGTAGACAGGCATATTAGGATATGAGCAGCCAGCTTTTATTAAACATATATACGCGTGCTTCTATATTTATGTGCGGGAAAAGTTCCTCCTAGCTTTTTTTTTTTTTTTTTAATTATTTCACCCCAAGCAAGGTGATAATACCATAAAGAAACAAGGGGTTACTGAGAATGAAAGAAAAAAAAATGACTTTAGTAAGGAGAAAGGACAATAAAAGAGTAAAATTCAGGAAGACAGAAGATGGCAGTTGATGTTGCTTAAGCAAAGAAGCAAGAAATCGGAAAGGAGTTCCAAAGGAGAAATGTGAGAAAAGAAACTATTAGAATAAAACTGACATCTGCATCTAGCTAGTATAATAGTAAAACAGTGAGACCTAATTGCCAATCTAGTAATATGCTTAAATTCATCTAGTCGAGATGCCAAGGAGGAAAGCTCATTTAGAACAACTGTCATGAAAATATTTATAGAAAAGACAGAGGGAATCACATAATGGTGGTGAGAATGAAACTGAAATTGAGATGCCATGTCAGGATCGATAACATTACAGACCATTCCTTGGATTTTGTCAAGATTTTCAAGATATATAGTTGGAGCACCAGACCAGGCAGCAATATTCAATGCACAGACATAGATTTATAAATGTGCAAGGTGGATTCTCATGTAGCAATAGAAAATCACTGATTTCATTCTATTTTATTAAAAATGCTGGAAAATTTTATACAAGCTTAATAAATCAATAGTTTTTTTTTTTTTTGTTTTTTTTTTAATGTCAGTTTCATTATTTTATACATACCAAATTCCTTTTGAATAGTTAATGGCATATTTTTATTTCTTTTTCAGAACTTCAATCTTGGAATCTCTTAACTCGCAACAATGACGGATATCATTTTATTAGGTAAGTTTTCTTAGCCTTGGTTAAAAGAAAGAAAACTGAACTTTGAACACATGGAGAAGGCAATGAGAAATCATTCCACTACCTTTCCTAAGAAGCAAGAAGTTGTAGCAATCCATATGTAAAAAGTAATCTGTGGAGAGTCATGATTGCGTCTATCCTGAAGGGAAATGACATTAAAAACATTGAAAAACTTTTTTTTTTTTTTTTTTTTCTTTTTGGTGAGGTGGGGTTAAAAAGTTCTTTAGTTGAGCTGAAAACTTTGCAGCATCCCTCATATTATTATTATTCCATAATATAAAAAAGCTACAATTTTTTTAATATTTTTTTTTATATATTTATTGCTCATATAGCCTGATTTCCAGCCTAGTCTGTTGCATTCACTTTCGCACAAATACCCTTGGGAAAAGCATGAATCCAGGCCGGTGCAAGGGTTTTGTGCGCCCCCACTGAATCTTTGATATTGAGCGCCCCCTTCTCCACTCCATCTCATTTTTCATATGATAGTATTCATATAAAATACACATTTTATTGTTACCTAATTATGTACAATAATGGATTATATGCAATATAAGAGAACAATTCAACTGGAAAAATTGAAAATAAATACAATTTATCTAAATACAAATTAGACATGTTAAAAAGTTGAATAATTTAACACATTCAACATTATGGATAAAAAATAATGAATTTTATATAGTGTTTTTTTCGAGACTTAGCATGAGCAGAACAAATTCACGGATTTGGATTAAAAAAAATAGAAAAAAACAGAATTACATCAAAATTCACAAACTTTTCATCCTTTAATAGTCACTTGTGCTTAGTTTAATTTGTAATGTATATAAATGTAAGTAAAAAAAGCATATGTTCATTAGATAATGAGGGTTACAAATCACTGACTGGAGGTCCCTAGTCATGGTTGCACTCCTATAAGCCATTGTAATAAGAGAAAAGATCTATTGGGTGATGGATATGTCCTTTGTAGCAACAAGAAAGAGATTGAAAAGTTGGTAAAATAGGTAGACTTTACCAGTGAACTGGGGAAAAGAAATCATGAAATATGAAGGTGACAGTTGTGTCAATAATTAGAGGAACAATGTTGAAGAGACTGTCAAAAAGATTTTAGGAAAAGTAAGTATAAAGAATAAATGAAACCATGCAGATAAGTGTTATTAAAACCAGATAAAATACTGATGAGAACTGAGATATTGAAAGTTACAGAAACTTAATCTCTAGCAAGAACAATACAAACTAACGAGGCAGATTTTTTCCCACTGTAGGTTGCCATTTCTTTCTCTGGTAGACCAATTGCTATCCAAGGCTATACAACCTGGTCTGTCCTGCTATTTACCCATAGCTGGAGGGAGAAGAGGATTCATACCTTTCCCAAGGGTATTAGCATGTAAGTGAATGTAATGGATTTGACTGGAATTCAAACTTGGCTCTCCAATTACTCAATCTGAGCCGCTATCCGTTACTACCACCGTGCAAGAACTGCCAGATATAATAAGAAATTTTTATTGCAATAATAAACTGTGTTGTGATAAGTTTTTATTTTAATTTATTTTTTATTTTTATTTATTTTTTAACATTTTCATTCTATTTTCAAAAACCTTTTTCTTTCTAAAGCAGTTTTCAACAACTTTTTACTTTGGCTACAAAAAATTAATTTTCCTTAATAGTTTATCTTTGATGAACAACAAAATATAATTTTTAGCAGTTGTGAAATTGGAAACTGGATTAAAGGCTTAAAAGTAATTTCTACTCTTGTTTGACCTTTCATTGTCTGAAAATGTTTCTTTATTAAGAATTGTTATTTTGGTCTCTTCTGATAATCACTTCAAAGAATTTTGATTTGCTTTGATAATTAAATCATTTGGTTTTTTGTTTTTGTTTTTTTTTTTTTTCGTGAAGAGTTGAAGTGCGCTTAAGATTAAGAAAAGAGGGGAAAATGCATTATTATTGATTTCTGCATTTGTTAAAAATAGTATTTCCTAAGTACTTGTTCTGACAAAGCTGAATTATTAATTTCTAGTCAGTAGATTAGATCAACTTTGGGGAAAAAAAAATCTAATTTTTGATACAGAAAGTGCATTATTAGAAGTCTCATGTAAGATGATTAATCTGAATATGATTTTTTATTTTTTTATAGTGTGCGGTTAACTATTCTATATTTTGTGGGATTACTTATTCGATATTGTATGCTCTTTCCATTCAGGTAAGTATTACATTATACAATAAATTATCATTTCGAAATATTTTTTCAGTTTAATAATTTTCATTAAACTTCAAAATATTTTAAGCTTTAATTTATTAACACCCAATGTAAAATCCGGTACTATAAGTTTAATTTTTTTTTTTTTTTTTTTCTTTTTTCTTAATCGGTATTATAAAAAACAAATGGAATATTATATGTTTAAAAAAACTGAATCCTATAGGTTTCTAAAAAAAAAACAAAAAAAACCCCCAAAATTCAATATTATTGGCTTCTAAAAAAAATAAAAAAACACAGGTTTCTAAAAAATAAAAAAATATTCAATATTATAGGTTACTAAATAAACCAGTATTATACGTTTATGAAAAATGGACAAGTTATATCTACAACTTGTAGCAATATGGGGCTATAAGTTGTAAGAGACAAGGTTTTTGTTGGTCAGTGGTCTGTAGCTGGAGGATTTATTGTTGTGGATAAAGATGAAGACTAAGAATAATTTAACGTTTTCAAAAGAAATTAATTTCAGTACATGACAGAATTTTACATATCTTTTTATATAAAAAATAACATGATATAATAATAGAAAATATAAAGGGAGAAAAAAAGCACATTTTTGTGTGGTGCACCATGTGGCTGGCTGAAATTAAGAAGATGGCCTGTCTGAAGAAATCTCCAGTGAAAAGAAGTCCTGTTGTTTTCACTACTACATTTCAGCACAAAAAGAAGAGGAAGATTTATTGTATTGTTCTTTTAGACTTGAACAGTACCACCTAGTGGGTTTCTTGTCAGATAAGGTAAGTGTAATCTCCAAACACTGTAGTTGAAAAAAAGTTTTAGACCTGAATCTTCTGCATTACTTTTAAAACTTGGGTATATCAGTTGAAAAAAAAAAAAAATATTTCTTGAAATATTCTAATGACCTTTTGAACCTTGATTTCCCTTAACCTTTATCCTTAGCTATTTTTCCTCAATCATTATTACCATTCCATGTCACTTAGCTTCTTCATCTGAGAGATCATCTATAAAAATTTAACTCCCAACTAAATCTTAAATTCTTGTGCCAAACATGAAAATTTAGTTAGAGATAGAAAGGGGAAAGAGAACTCCTGCTTCTCTTACCCCTAAAGTTGAAATAGGCGCAAACAAAACTTGACTGCGGCATAAAATTTTTAAGAAAAAACATATTTATAGTATAGAAAAAAAAAAAGTACAAATACAAAATTTGCACAAAAATTTCCTTTTGTGCACTTAAGGCAGAACAACAATTTCTAATATGACAAATAGGATTACAATTTCGAAAATGTCAAACATAGAGAAAGCAACATTCAGGAAGACAGAAAAACAAAGGTGCAATCACCTTTTTGAAAAAGAAAAAAAAAAAACACTACTTATCTCATGTGCATCTCGAAGACATTTAGTAATATTTTGAAATGTCTTTCTAGATATTCACTTTGGCTTCATATGATTCACTAGGACCTTAAGGAAATTTCTTTGTTTTCTTTACATTGTTTCACAGTGGTGAATTCCTCTTGTGGACTTCAAAATTCCTTTCTGCCTTTTCTTCTGAATGCCTTCACAATGAAATGCTTTCTTCTTAACACCTAAATGTTTTTACTCTGCTTTTATTAGGGAAAAGAGGATCACTCAAGGCCTCATCTAAGTTTTTTTACAAGGGCTTGAAACCATGTCTCTGATTGGTCAGTAAGTGCGAAAAAACACCTTTTCACAAATTCAGAAGAATCCTCAACAAATCAAATAATTTTGGTGGTTTTTAACCGCTAAGTCTAAAAGATCTACGCATGCAACAATTTTTTTTCACAAAACGTCTGGCTTTCTTAAAAATACACTTCTCTCAAAACAACTTGTACAAAAAAAAAAAAAAAAAACAACCTTGATGATTAACGACTAACTATTTTTACAGTGATAAAAATTTTTATACATCAGGTCAATTCCAAAACTTTAATAGTTTGACTGGTCTTTCATTTCAGAAAGTAAATTTCCTCACATACTTTAGGCTATTCAAACTACAGCTTGGCCTGTTACCATTAAAGTGGGTTCATAAGGTTAAGAGACTGTTTAGCACTGATGATAGTAAATATATTGGCTCTTAAAGTAAGTGGGTCAGACTCTATTCTGCTAACAGTCACTTTTTTCACATGCCCCAGTTTGGCTTCTCACCACTCTTATGCACTAAGGAAGCCTGAGATCAGATAAAGATTAAAAGGATTAATAATTCATGGGGGGTGAAAAATAGGATTGGCACACACACACACACACACACACATTTTTAAATTCTCTGAAGCAGTGTTTCTCAATTTGTAAGATAACTAAAACTCTGGGGCACTCTTTAAATTTTAATAAGGAAAAATTAGTCATGAAATTTAAAAATAGGAAAATAATAAGTCTCTTGAAATAAATGTTTACTGATTATTTTTTTTTTTTTTTTTTTTAAGGCATTACAATATATATTTAATTATACTTGCATGAAACCTATGCTTGATGTGCTTTGGAAATTTCTTGAATGTTTCGCCTGATTTGTGATAAATAGGCTCATTTCCTCATCAATTTTGGGGATTTCTGTGAAATCTTTCCCCCCTCCTATCTGCATAAACTGCCTCTTACTCTGTAACACTCTACCTCAAGTGACCCTCAGGCCTTGTACATGGTAAGCCTCACTGTAAAAAAAAAAAAAAAATGTTCAATTCCTTGAGGAAGGCAAAAAGGAAAGGATTATTCCCTCCTTAAAGAGTAAGGAATTTAGCATCCCGTTTAAAATATCACTTGACTTAGATATGGAAGCTATGTGCTTGGTGTGTCTAACTTTTTAAAAAATAAAGGTTTTTTAATATAAAAATAATTCCTAAATCGTTCTTCTGTTAACCTGGCTACCTTTCAGGGTTGACCCTAAAGTTAAGGTTATTATTGGGAAACATCCTTTCAAGTGTCTGTTCCACAAAGTAGCAGTTCTTAGGAGGTGCCGTGGAATTGGAACTCAACTCTCCAATTAACAACGCCAAGTCATTATCCATTACACCACATGCACATCCAAGCTTACATGGTACTCCCAAGTGGTCACCCATCTTGGCACTGACCATGTTTGACATTGTTTAACTTTGATGATCATATAAGAACTAGTGTTTAAATATGATGTGGCCGTTAACTTGAACAAGACCAGTTGTCTCAAGCCTTTGGTCATGATGACTTGTGTCTTCATGCCAGCACAACCGTTGATAGCTTTCAAATAACTTTGTCTGCATGATTTCACTTGCAAAGACTTGGGGCAATTCATAGCTTGGTTTCTCAGATACTTTCTAATGGAGCCGCATGCTCATGCCTCCTCAGGCCAATATTATTAAAGCAAATTGACTATGGTGAGATTTGAAAACTGGTCTCATGATTGGAATGCTCATGTTGTACTCATTCACCGATACAAATGAATGAATGAATGAATCCTAATTTGAAGATTAGTTTTTCTTCATCAGGAATATTTCTTGTCAAATGATTGATACATTTTATGACAGGGAATACAGTATTTCTTTTGGCACAATGATCAGGATCATCAAAGATGTTTTCTTTTGTCTATATCTTTACAAAAGTGTTACCAAATTCCTATTGGTATAATATTTAGTGAACCAGTCGAGAACACCACTACCACAGTCATGAGTTTGTTCTTCATTCATTGTGCCACACATTTCCTGTCTTACACTAAATAAAAAGTTTTTTTTTTCCTTAATTTATAAAGAAATTATGCCAAAACCTCATACATAGGGTATTGTTTATTATAATTGTTATCAGTTATTTTTATCAAAACCACTAAGTCCCAAGCATTGAAAATTTAACCATGGTATCAAAAGATTTGCATATATTTTCTACATGAGTAATTTTTTTTTTTTTTTTTTTTTTTTTTTGCTTTATCTTTACAATTTTCGGTCTGAATTTCTAGGAGGAGGAGGAGGAATCATTGTTTACACTCAGACCATTGTCCTCATCTTTGTTGTTGTTATAAGCTTTCAGTCATTGTGCCTTTCAGCTTTCTTCACTAGCTTTTTGATTCAGGTAACCTTCAGGGAATTTTGAACTGAACCCTTTATTTAACCTATAGGGTAGATTGTTCTCATTCCACTGTCCATATCTAGGGATATCTCATCTAATTCTTATTTAGTACTGCTCATTTAATGCTTGCCCTGTTTCCACTGAGTCTGTCTGCACTAACCTCACGGGTTAAATAAAGAGTTCAGTTTCTAGCCTCCATCAATAGTCTACTGGATTAAAGCTATGGTTTGTGAATATTATGACAAAGTATTTGTAAGTTTAATCCCTGTGCCAGGTACAGCCTGATTTACCCTGCTGTTTAACCCATAGTTGGAGGCGGGGAGACAGATTCAGGCTTTCCACAAGGGCATTTTTGTGAAAGTGAATGTAACAGACGAGCCCAAAATTTGAACTCTGCATGCCAATTTCACTTTCCAACCCAATATTTTGCACCACCTGCACATCCATATTAAAGAATAGATGAATTAAAAAGTAAATGTTTTATACTGTAAAGTTAAGAATTGATGCAAATTGTGGCAATGTCTTTATTTCCTGTGCTTAATGTTATCAGTTGATTACTATTATCTAAAAGACCTTGACATTTCAAAACATCACAATAAGTGGACTCCTCAGTTCTACTACTACTGATGATGATAATGATAATTCATCTATATAATAAATGTGAATGTCAGTGTGTCACTGTGTCACACTTTTCAACTTTACTCCTAGAGGCCGTAGCCCAACATATCATACCGTTTTGGAATCAGGCCAACTCCATGAGTAAATTAAAAACATTCTAGGCTGGATCTGAACATGTAATCTTGAAATTTTGGATTCCCAAGTTTTCATTACTGCAATTGTTTTTGGCAAATTTTTTTATGTGAATTTTTGCAACAAATTATTTTGTACAATAACAATTAATTTTTATAACTTGGAAATAAATTTGGGAATAATCAAAATAAATCACAAAATCCAGAAAGTAAGGATCTATGTACATCAAACTGTCTTTAAATTAAGTCACAGCAGAAGAATTATTTTTGAGCTTTTAAAAGGTAAGCTTGAATATTAATGCAATACTTAAATGTAGGGATCAATTTTGAGTTCTGTAGTTTATTGTTGCCTATCACATCTACTCCTCCCTACCTATTGTAATGAAGGCCCAATCGAGCCCTCTGCAGGCGGTAGCTTAAATGCATCCGATAGGGTAGATTTTAAGCTAATTTAAAATATAACTTTATTTATCACAAAGAATTTAATAACCATGTAAATTGTGACAACGTCTTTATTTCCTTTGCTTAATGTTATCAGCTGGCTGTTATGTTAGCTTTTCAGTTTAGACATAATTTGATTACAAAAAACTCACCTGCCTTACCAAAATTCCTTCTAGTTGCAAATGGTTAAATTTTCCCTCTAACCCCACCCTTCATATGGTACCCACTGAAAGATAAGTGTTATCAGTGAATTTAGGCCAGTCAACTTTGACCCAGAAATGAGACTGGGGATACATTAGAAGTATTCTATTTGAATGATTGATTATAACAGATAGTCTGGATGTCTTATTTCTCATCTCATACAAACAATAAGTGTCCATTATCTACTCTTGAAAGTAGAAAATGCATTTTATTATATTTTATCACTTATACATTATTTTTTTAGTGGATACTCATATTTGAATAGATGCTCTGTTTATTTATTAAACAATGTTTATTTTCGTCTGTTGGGCCTGAATATTCAAGAAATCTTTAAAAAAAAAAAAAAAAAAAAAAATTGCACCTTCTGGCAGGATTTGAACTTGCATCTTCTTAGCAGTAGAAACTGTTGTTAGTTCTCTCGTCCTGTAGACCAACTTGGCCATGAAGAGTCTCACTGAAGTGCAAAAAATCTGTTGGATTAATAAATAAAAAATTAATTATTTATAAATTGCTTTGTTTACATTAGGATATGAAACAGAGTAGATATGAATGTTTTGAGAATCTTTGAAGAAATTTGTGCTTAAAGGCACTATTTGGCTTTGCTCAATTGGTGAGGCACTTCATTTAAAATCCAACTGACACCAATGACTCTAATTAAAAAAAAAAAAAAAATAAAATAAAATTCTGGTTGTCAGATTTGATAAGGTAATTTAATTTATTGCCCCTCTTAAAAGCCCCAATGCATTTTCTTTAGTTTGATTTTATTTTTATGATTAATGATTTTATTTTGCAACATGTATTTATAAACGGAAGTAAAAAATATTAGGTTTTCAAAATGTTTAAATTTAAGAATGTTCAAAGATATTCCTATGGCTAACTGTGAAAGTCAATGTAAGTTATGGAGGATGTTAAGTGGCGTAATGTTTAATAAGCAAAAGTGAGTAAATGTTGTTGAACAACCCCTATTTTTACACATAAAAGTATATAATTTAATGTATGTCAAAGTTAGCAGAATTCTTGTCAATAAAAATATTCTAGCCATCTAGAATAATAATTATTGTATGAAAAATATTAAAAGATCATGATACTTATTAAAGTTCAACTCTGAGTTTCATGATGCTTTGCTTTTCATGAACCAGATAAGACTCTTATCTGGGTCATGAAGAGTAAAGCATTGCAAAACTCCAAGTTGAACTTCAATATGTGTATCTGGGCAACAACCACTCTTTTATACAGGTTTCATTAAAGATGACACTGCCATTAAGTTTTTTTATTATATTTTTCTTGCATTTGTGCAAGTATTTTCTTTTCTGAACATAGTGTGTAAAAACTATCCAAATAATCTATGGATTTGAATGCTTTTGACTAAATCCTTGTATATGTATTTATAGGGATGGGATTTTTTTTTTTTTTATGTTCAAAATTTAAAAATCTTATAAAAAAAAAAATCTTGTCAGTCATCTTATTAAAATTTACATTATATATAATCTAACATTTTATATTGCTTCAAACGTTATTATAATGAAAATGTCCATGAAGATGGTCTTAAATAGACCGAAACGTCCGACGTCGACTTTATATTAACATTAATACTACATAATTGCATATTAAGATTTTTGTTTGTTTTTTTCTGTATTTTTCTTCAATGAATACTTTGTATATGAAATAGGCACCCATTTTTTTATTTATTAAACATTACTTATTACATCTATTGGCCTCTGCATTTGATAAATCTTAGTAAAGAAAATGTGTTTTGGCAGGAATCCAAACTATGTCACCCTTTTATGAAGGAAACCATTGTTTGATCTGGCGTGCTTTACCACTCAGGTCACAACAAACATCACAGTAAGCAAGGCTCTATTTTCCTTTTTTAAGGAAAACACATCCTCTTCTCCCAGATTTATTTTTCTCGAAAGCCCATATCTGAAACATAAACAAGGCAATTTTTGAAGAATTAATGGATTTATTTTTAATCTGACATCTTTACATTTCTTGAATATGCAGGCCAGGCCAAGAGGCTGTCGTAATACACAGGCCAAGAGACAGTCGTAATACACACTGTTTAATAAATAAAAACAGAGCATCTATTTCAAATACAAAGTGTCTGCTATAATAACATTTGAAGTAATATATATTGTTAGATTTTTCTTTCACGTCAAATTGTCAGAAACAGATGTGCAAAGACTGTTATTGTGGGAAATAAACAAAAATGAATGTTTTTATTTTTTTCTTCACAGAGTAGTTTTAGCTGTGATTGGTACTGCTTGGTTGATAGCAACAACAGCAATTATTGGATATTTACCAAATAGCAAGTAAGTAGCATCATTTTATAACCACCCTTTCTAATTTTTTTTTTCCTTTTTTAACCTTTTATTCATATATCACTTTTTTTTTAGTCTTTGTCTTCCCCTGTTGCCATGATGGTATGTCAGTGATAAATCACTTACAAACATTGATTGATGAAAGCTCAGAGAAGATAGGATTTGTGCCTTCCCAAAGACAAGAAAAATATGCCTTTGCCAAAATTTGACCACTGTTCACTAATTCACTTTTTTGAGGTGCTGTCATATTTTCTGGTTTGTGTCTCTGACAATTTCCAATCAGTATTTTGAAATAGGTTTACTTACTGGCGCAAATTATTATTTATTTATTTATTTTTTTTTTTTTTTAACTTGTATATCTTTCATCTTATTTCTCTTGCTTTTCCACCAAGTAGTAATAGTCTTAAGTTGTCTGAATTTCTTAGATGAAGCCTTGTCAATTATTATTCATTTTTGACTAGTATTTCTTTCATCTTATTTCTCTTGCTTTTCTACCAAGTAGTAATAGCCTTAAGTTGTTTGAATTTCTTAGATGAAGCCTTGGCAATTATTATTCATTTTTGTTTCCTATTTTTTGAGAAAAAAAATAGATTACATTTATTCCCAGTAAATTTACAATGAAAAACAAATTGTAAAAAGTATATTTTTGAGAGGAATATTATCTTAATTTGCATTTTTCAAAGTATGCAAGTATTTTCTAAAATTATAGTCTTATAATGATTGGTTACAAATAGCAATTATTACTGAAAGTTAAATCCATATTACAGAAAAATGATAGGCACCACATTTCTCCATGAGAAAAAAAATGTTTAGATCTCTGGTGTTCAATAAATACGTAGACCAAGTTTGAGAGTTATACATGAAAAGGTGAGTATCATGAATAGACAGATTCTTACCAGTTATTACATGTAGAGCAATACAATTGCAAAGAGATGTTTTATAGATTGTGCAAAAGCATTTGATAAAGTACATCACAGAGAAATTTTGGAACTGGTAAGTAACTTTGGTATATTTGGGAAGAATATTAAAATAATCCAGAACCTATACTGGCAACAAACCACCTACATATGGATAGAAAATGAATTCCATAAATATACAAAAATAAAAAGCAGTGTAAAACAAGGATGTGTCTTATTCACTCTATGGTGAGGCCATTCTGAGAAAATTAGAAGTCCTACCAGGATTCATTATTGGTGGCCACTATTTTAACCGCATGACATGCAGATAACCCAGTATTGATAACGGACATAGAAAGGAAACTACAAAAATTCCTACAGATGGTAGTGAAAGCAGGGAGAAAAAAGGACTAAACATCAATTGTAAGAAGACAAAATGCATTGGACAGCCTGACATGCAATTACAAATTGGCACTACAAAAATCAAACAAGTACAACAATTTAAATATCTGAGAAGTGTTTTAACAGATTTGCCAGCATTACTACTGTTTCACTTTAAGAACCTTCGTTAAGTAAAATTTATGAAATGTTTATTTCTAGAATTCACTGTGTTGTACCAAAACCACATATAAGGGGAGATTACTCTACCAAGATAAAATGGGGATGATTTCTGTAAGAAAAACATAATTGAAAAGACATATTGAAATAGTATACACCTTTTTTTTCTTTTTTCTTTTTTTCTTTCTTTTCTTTTTTTCTTTTCTTTTTTTTTTTTTTTTTTTTTTCTTTTTCTTTTCTCTTTTCTTTTCTTTTTTCTTTTTTCTTTTCTTTTTTTTTTCTTTTCTCTTTTCTTTTCTTTTTTCTTCTTTTCTCTTTTCTTTTCTTTTTTCTTCTTTTCTCTTTTCTTTTCTTTTTTCTTCTTTTCTCTTTTCTTTTTTCTTCTTTTCTCTTTTCTTTTTTCTTTTCTTTTCTTTTTTCTTTTCTCTTTTCTTTTTTTTTTCTTTTCTTTTTCTTTTTTTTTCTTTTTCTCTTTTCTTTTTTTTTTTTCTCTTTTCTTTTCTTTCTCTTTTCTTTCTTTTCTTCTTTTCTTTCTCTTTTTCTTTCTTTTCTCTTTTTCTTTCTCTTTTTTCTCTTTTTTCTTTTCTCTTTTTTCTTTTCTTTTCTTTCTTTTTTTTCTTTCTTTTTTCTTTTCTTTTTCTCTTTTTTTTTTCTTTCTCTTTTTCTCTTTTTTCTTTCTCTTTTTTCTCTTTTTTCTTTCTCTTTTTTCTCTTTTTTCTTTCTCTTTTTTCTCTTTTTTCTTTCTCTTTTTTCTCTTTTTTCTTTTCTTTTTTCTTTTAATCATATCTTTTCAAGACATAGGCGACTATGGCTCTCTGGATTCCATATTAAATCTACATTATGATAAAACATTAATTAAAACCTTAAACACTTTAATATATTGAAATGTACTACATCATTTTGTTTTTGTTAAATGCCATATCTCTTCAAGACATAGTTGATCATCGCTCTCTGGATTTCTTTTGCTTATTATCTGTTAATTGCTATGACTTTTTGGGAAATATAATGGATTAGTTTCCTGTTGCTTTCTCCAAAGTGTTACATTCTGAGTTAGACTGGTTGCTACCCAAATCTACTTGTATTTTCTTTCCTTGATTGTTTGTCTCTTCATTAATGGTGCTGGAAGTAAATGATTGGGTTTGTGTTATCTTCCTAATAGTCAGGAGTCTGAACTTTAGTCTAAACTCCTAATCAGCAGGTGTGTAATATCTAGGCTAATATATTACCATTTTGCGGATGGAATCTGGACCATGCAGTAGTGTCTGGTGGAGGGATATCTCTATGCTAAGATGAAGGGTACAATTACGGCTGGGTTTCCCATTAATTAATCCACATCATTTGTACACCTACTATTTGTGGGTGTTGATGTTCACACTTCCAATTCTTCACCTAATCCAATATTTCAGTATAGAAAACCATATACTTATATTATTGTTTTCATTTTGGTTGATATAGATGTTATTGTAGACTCAGTGTTTCAACAAAGTACCCTCTGGTCATCATCAGGTGTCCATTGACTGGCTTGATATAGGATATCTATTGATCATTGTGATATTTTGTTCCTGTGATATCAGTTATTATTTGTTCCAGCTTTGTTTTACACCTCTCTATTTTTGTATATTTACTGAACTCGTTTCCATCCATCTGCAGGTGGTTTGCTGCCAGTATAAGTTCTGGATTATTCTAATATCCTTTCCAATTATGTCAAGGTTACTTATTACTATTTTGTAAATGAGATCTGGACAATGCAGTAGTTTCTGGTGGGGGCCACTTGATGTCATGAAGAAGTGTACAGTTTAGTGGCAAAGGGTGACTTAAATGTGGTGGAAAACAAATTTTTTTTTTTTTTTTTGTTAGGGGTGGGGCTTCATTTTCTTATGCAGCCATTGAAGTAGCAAGTAGCTTGTCAGGTTGTTGACAGACAAGCAGTAATTGAAAAAATATTACAGTAGGCTGTATATGACAAAATATTTGCAACTGCATCTCTGGATCAGTCATGGCTATACTTTCTGCCAATTAATCCACATAGTTTGTACACATGCTACTTGAAGCTGTTGATATTCCCTATCTTACCTTTTCAATATTTCAATATACCAAACCATGTCCACAGCTCAATCAAGTACTAGAAACAAACACAATTCTAAAAAAAAAATACTTGAGCCTCCATCTCCCTTACCAATATAAGGGGTCTACATTGCAAATTTCTAGAAGTTGAACTCCATCTTCAAGAGGTCAAACATGATCTCATGTTCATGTCTGAAACCTGTTTTGATCTATTTATTCTAGTACAGAAATTTACAATCCCTTGGCTACTTGCTGCCCATCATAAAACAAGACCCACTAATCAACCCACATCTGTCACTGGTATCTTGGGCCAACATCATAAGATAGATTACTTTTGGAGTAATCCTAACACATGTGTTCAGTCAGCAATCCTTCTTTTATTCATGTTTTGTTGAATATGGCCAACAATGAATATATTGTAATTTTATTCTGTTTTTCTTGTGTCCTTATAATATTGACTCCTGGTTTCATCTTTTTTTGAATATCCCGATTTATGATCTGATAAATATTTGATACCCTTTCTGTTCATATGAGGAAAATATTTTCATTTTCAAGAACTTTTTAATTAGGGAATGATGACATTTAATTCTGATAACTGACCTGTCCCCAAAGATTTTATCTTTAAAACAATACTTTTACCTAATATGTCAGGTACCCAGTTGCATAGGGTAGGTTTTGAATGCCCGAGATAATTTAAACTATTGCACTTCCTCCTTAGCTATGAGCTGTTTAAATTCCAATTTCATATGTATTTTCTCAATATAGTTAATATTCACCCCCCAACAAAAAAATTTAGTATCATCGACCATCACCCCTTCTGGCCCCACTCACACTACAGATACCTTTCCCCCTCTCTCTGTCTCTCTTTTTAAAACATGAAAATTTAAAACTTTTTAAAGAAAATCTATTAATATTTTTCTAGACTTTAGTTCAAATGGCATTTTTTCCTTTTCATTTTAATGATTTTATAAAATGTTACAATTTTGAAATATTTTAAGATTAAATTTAAAAGACTTGTATGTAATAATGTTGGATTAGTAAAGAAGAAATATCTTATGAATTAATATTTCAATGTCTATTTTCATCATCTTCAGAACTCATCAGAATTATTTTTGTGTTTTGGAGATTCTTGTACAGATTTAAAAAAAAAAAAAAATTGCAATAATTTATAGTGTTTTTCCTCTTAGCATCACTTGAACCAATAACCCTTTTCTCCACTTTTATTGAGTGGGTGTGGAGGTACTAGAAATCATCTTTATATGGTTGTGACTTATTTGAAATGATTATCGAAAAATTGTTTTATTGTTTGTGCTTTGCTCTTTTCAGCTGTAAGAGGTTCCTTAATCAATATGTCAGCTTAATGAGTCACCGTATTCTCAGCCGAGCTTTTTCAGCCACAATTACTTACCACAACAGGTAAGACATTTTTTTTTTTTTTTTTGCCTTGCCTTTTGCCTTTTTCTTAAAAAGAAAAAAGTTCCACATTAATAAGTCAGCTTTTAAAAAAAATTGTCTCCTTTTGTCCCAGCCACAGAAATATAAAGAAATTTTACTGAGTTTATAGTGAAGGGTCCAATGAGGATCATGTTCACAGCTTGTGACGGGTTTAATTTGTGGTTACTTTTGTTTTTACTTATTTATTTAAAGATTCAAATGTTCTAATTTTCATCATCAACAGTCATTGTTTGTTTGTCACAGGAAAAATGTCTATGCAAAATATTTCCACAACTACTATGACTGTACCATTCTCTGATTTCCTGCCATATCTTAGCAAGCTCTTCTTTCATCTGTTCATTTTCTATTGTGTTTTTTTCTTTTTTTTCTCATTCATATTTGCTAAACATTGGGCACTAATTTCCTTCCCTCTGTCAGGCATGAATTGAAGATTGCTTGTTCCTGTCAAGATAATATTAGGTACACTAAACTTCAAAAGTTTGAAGCCCAGAATTAACATGCAATGAACTTGACAGAAGAGTGAAAAAAAAAAATGAAAAAGAGCTCTCGGTCATTGAAAAAAATAGAATGGAATCAATTATCAAACTTATACATTGAGAAAGTTTTGCAACAAATGCCAAAAAGTTTCTGTTGTAGTAATCAAGGCTAAAGGAAGGTATTTTGTCAAGAGCAAAATTTAATCATAAAATGCTTTTCTTTTTGTCATAATAAAATTTCTAATAAAAAAAAAAAACACATCTGACTTTTTTTTTTTCTTTTAACCATGTATAATAATTTTCTCTTATTTAAAGTAAAAAACTACTTTTTGGGCCAATTTAAAAAATGAACAGGGGTGGCCTCAAACATTTGAACTTGAGTGCAGATACAAAAGTTTCCAAGCTTTTTGTTATATTTGTTTTGTTCAAAATATTTTATTTAGAATATTTTCATTGGATTCTTATTTGTTTTTTAATACTGCTATCTTATTAGAAATGAAGACCAGACTGAGCATTGCATTGAATTGTAAAGATACAATGTGACTCTCACCCAAGCTTTCCACTGATCGGCTAATGATTACCCAACATGGCATTTCAATTCTCAATCTCGTCAGTGTGCACCAATAACTGGGAAAGGGTGTGTTATATGCTCACAATGTAACATGATGAAAGACGCTGAGAAAATAAGAACATGAACCCTTTTTCCCATGTTATATTATTTCATTCATGGCTTCACATGCTCGTCTATGTCAGCTCTTCACCCACCAACTTTGTCCATCTACTCATCCTAATGTGGTGGATAGCAATATGAATGGGTGACATGGCAACTACTTAATGGACCAGAATTCTCTCCAATCATAACATAACTGTTAATATAGACCAACAATTGGATATACCCTATTTTCGGTTATGTTGCCACTTGATCTCTAAAAACCCCTCATCCATTCCTTTACTTCTGCATTACACTTTAATCAAAGTGGATGCTGGACCAAACTTCAAAAGGAACCATCTGTTGGATATCAAACAAACACTTAGAGATTGAGATAAAACCACCTCTCCCTTTTCGATGTGGGTGTCCGTAGTATCGGAACTAAATTATTATTCAGTTTTTCCTAATCTGACTTAAAAATAAGTTCTGTATCCTGATTGGCTGAAAGCCATCACTTGAGAGAAAAGAAATTGCCATTTCCTTATAAAGAAACATTTAGTAATCATTGACCAAGCAGCCACTACTACTTTTGGTTGTTTAAGGAAAATAGGTTTCTCAAGTCTAGTAACTCATTGCTCTTTCCAGTGTTCATGGGGCTTTCTTTCTATCCTTTTTGTTTTAATTACTTGTTGCCACTTTATCTAAAAAAAAAAAAAAAAATTAAAAAAAAAAGTTATCCACCCCTTTTACTTCTGCATTACCCTTCAGTGAAAGTGGATGCCACTTAGAAGACCAAGATTCAAAAGAAACCATTTGCTGGTCTATCAAACAGAAACATTTGAGATTGAAATAAAACCACCTCTTACTTTTCTATGTGAGTGTTCATAGTATCAGAGAGTGCTACTTTGGAACTGGCAAATCTAGAGAATACACTGCATATGGAAGAATTTCCTATATCAGTTCTATAATGACACTTGCGGAATTACATTTGTAATAAGTGCGATCCTGCAAGCAAAATCACCTTTCTAATTTCTTACCGCACTAATTTTTTTTTTTTTTTTTTTTTTTTTTTAGCACTAAAAAGGGGTACATAACTCAGTATAGTCAGCTTCCTTATCCCCTCTCATCCCTGCTCTCATTCAAATTAGCACATCACTCAGTGTTGTTGTGTAGTAACTATTTGTTCAAGTTCTAGCAATTTATAAGATTTTTCCAAGTAAAGTTAATATTAGTGGCTGCCATAGATCTGGCCATAATTTTCTTTCAGATCTTTATAATAAAGCTATTTTTCATCACCAGTGTATATTTTTGTCTGAATGTTATACACATTGTAGAGAACCACTCTCATTTCTTTCATGTTCCTTTGGTGAGAGGTAAGTTCCACTCGAGCAGCTTCATCCTGCAAACTGCTGCTCTGTAGAACCAACTCCTAAGAGGATGTTTTCCTGTTCACTACAATTTAAACCTGTTCAAGTCGAGGGTTAACTGTTATCTTCCCTGACATATCTGCATAAACTGTACCTCTTACTCTGTAACCCTATACCTCTTGTGGCCTCGTCTGTCCTCCTGGGTATGACAAACTATGTCCGCGTCCTGGGTAAGACGATAAATTATGTCCAACTATGGTAGCACCTGTTAGGCTCCCAGCTATGGGCAAATAGTTAACCCCCAAACTGGGGTCAAAACACTATGAAAGTGTAAAAATAGGTTTTAATACCAGAAATACTTTGTAAAAAAAAAAAAAAAAAAACTTATTACCAGGAATAAGTTTTGAAGAAAAAATTATTACCAGCAATACATTTTTGAAAAAAAAAAAAAAAAATTACAAGCGATACATCTTTGAAGAAAAAATATTACCAGAAATAGATTTTTGAAGAAAAAAAATTTTACCATCAATACATTTGAAAAAAAAAATATTACCAGTAATAAAATTTTTGTCGGTATTAAATTTGAGGTTGATATGCTGTAAAACAAAACAAACCAATCAAGTGGCCTTGTACAGGGTGAGCCTCACTATAAAAAAAAAACTTTTTCTTGATCAAACAAAAAAAAAGAAAGAAAGAAAAATGTTTAAATATTGACCAGTATTTGTTTTGAGAAGTTTGTGTAACCAATTTTCTTTATCTTTTCATTTTTTTTTTTTTTTTTTTTTTTTTCTAAAACAATAAGGAGCTGAGAAAACTTGAAAGACACTTCCAAGATTTCTCTAACATTATGAATAAAGATGATGCTAAAAGTTTTCATCACCTGAAATATCACAAGGAACAAAAACTATATGGTTTTCTAAGCTTTGGTTAGGCAATGAAATCTGAACTTTTTTTCTGCGTATACTTTTGTTCATTATTGACAACATTTACTCAAAAATAAAGAATGATGGTAATTTTTTTTTTTTTTAAATACTTATCGGTAATCAACTTTTGATTATCTATAAGCATGTTTATCAAAATATATTGTGCTTAATTTAGTACTAAGAACAAAGATAATCATTATCAAAATATTTGTTTATTTTTTTTTATATATATATATATATATATATATATATATATATATATATATGTATACATACATGCAACAATATGGAAAAAGTTTATTTCTGATGCATTTACATTTTGTCTTACAATTTTCTCAATACTGTTTTTGATATATAAAAATATATATCATTATCTCGTATACATTATATATGCAACACATGCCTGCCTATTTGCGTTCTAGTAGTCAGTCATGTTAAAAGAACAACTCAACTGGTGCATGACTCCTCAACTGGGCAGCATTTACTGGATTATCTCAACTGCCACTGATTATGTTGCATGTTTTTTCCCATTTTCCATATTGCTTGCTCGGTTCACCATCTTCAAGTTCTTGAGGCTGTTTATATTAAACATATATATTCATCTGAACCTTTGTAAACAAAAGGAACACTTTATTCGTTCCTTATGTTTGATTGAGGCAATGAGTAACATTTTTCCATTTTTATACTCTTTTTGGAACATTGTATTTTGTTTTTAGTCATTAATTTATTTATAATTAAAATCTATTTTAATGTGTTCCAATTTTCCCTTCTCATTCACTATTTGATTGTTTACCTGCTACTCGCTAATGTTCACCTTTTGAGAGAGTGTTTGTCAAAAGGGTCCTCTCAAGGTAAAAAAAAAAAAATGATGTCCAAAAAACAAAAAAAACCTTAATTTTTTTTTTTTGTATTTCCAGCTTATATATATATATAGCTGGAAATACAAAAAAAAAATTTTTTTTTTTTTTTTTTTTTTTTTTTTTTTTGTTAATGTCATAAAATGTAATGTAAATTACACATTGACTCAAATAAAGCAGTGAAATCTATGATCCTTTCTCCTCTCTAAAGTTTTCTCAATCTCTTCCACACCTAGTAATCAGTTACATCTTAATGCCATTATCACCTTGCTTGGTGTGAAATGTTTTAAAAAGAAAAAAAAAAAACAATAAATTTGACTTTTGCCTTTCAGTTTGTCAAGTCCTGAGTGCCAGGGTTACTTAGATGCTGTACAGGGTGTTTTCAAAATATGCACAATAAAAACTCCTCTAGCTTATCAGTATCTAAAACTCTTTAGCTTTTTGTTATAAATGAACCAATACAGAATTATCTCCCTTTGTCCTTAAAGCAGAAGTTTAATTCAGAATATATTTGACTGAGCTTATAGTGGAGTGCCCAATGAAGATTACACATACTGGCAGTGACCAGTTTAATTTATTGTCACTCTTATTTAGTTTCAGTTTTAATTATTTTATTTTTTGTTATCAACCATTGCTAGTTCACTGTAGGAAAAATGACTTTCCAAAATTTAACAATATTATCAATAAGGAAAACGCCACCAGCTGTCAATTAATAAATAACTGTAAACTTTGTTTGGAGCAGCAAATAGGTATAACCACCTTCCCAGATCAACACAAATTACTAAATAAATGATGAGAACTTCTCTCAAAATGCAAACACAAAAGTTTTGTGATTCTTTACAAATTCCGATTGCTACTTTTGCTATGTCAAGTGAAAGCTCATTATCACTTCTAAAAATGCTTATTGTATTTAACACTTCGTAGACGCCAGTCCTAGTAGTAACACCTTCCAATAATATATCTGCACTAGTAATACTTGTTCAAGTAGTAATCGCCAAATAGTATAATGATCAGAAGAGAATCGTATTCCGGATAGTAGTAGAGAGAGAGAATGTATAGTAACAGTGGATAATTGAGAAGAGTGAACAGTGAACTGTATAGTGATAGAGGAGAAAGAGTGTTCAGTGAACATTATGCTACTTCACATTTATTCACTTCCTTTAGATCCCGTGATCTACTTAATAATGGAATTGCCTGTGTTGCTCACTGGCAATCTAGTTTCAAACCAGTTTCGGCAACAACACTTATTCTTATACAACCAAAAGCAAATTTTTACTGTATTACTTAAAAATTGAAAAACTAAAAACAAATACATTGTAAAATATTGCCAAGAAAAATACACAGATTAATTAACATACTTTAAACAAAGCCAATACTCTAAACTAAACAAATAAGATAACTAACCCCCTCCCCTGAAAAAAGAAAAATAAACAATATAAATAATAATCAAATTAAAAAATTACAAATAAGTAAACTTAATAATAATAATAATCTCTCGTTCTGTTCATTATCCGTTTTTTTTTGTTTGTTTTTTTTATTTCTTTGGGAATTAGAAAGAGAGAATAAATCATTATCTATCTAAAATTCTGACTTCTGTTTGTCACACCCTTTAAAATAGCCATATATTGACTGATAAAAAACAAATTTTAGGGAGAAGTGCAAACAGGTAAGGGGGAATTTGGATCCAGAAAGAAATACTTACACATGGCCAGTTGTATGTTGCATGCTCAAAAGTAAGAAATTCTAAGAATTTATTCTTTGCTGTTAAAAAGGGAAAAAAAAAAATTTCTTTAAAAATATTGTTTACCAAAAATTTCATCAATTGGTTTGCAAAATTGAACAAAACATAGTTTGTAAATCTTGACAAAAAATTGATAACTTCAACAATATTAAATACTGTAAGGATTTCAACACTCATCAAACTGCTGCCAAAAATTTCTAGTAAATACAAAATACCCAAAGTAATAAATAAATAAATAGAAGTTTAGTTAAGAAACAATCTTATACAATAACTATAAAATAACCATCATTCTGGTCCATAATTATTTCTACTCAATAGACTTTGTAATAATTTAAAATATAACCATTAGGATAACACAATAAATCAGAGATAGCTGACCATGCTACCCATAGTACTCCATTGACCGACATATATGAATATTCAAGCTACCACTTAATATATGTCCTGAAGATTTGCATTCAAGCATGAAACACAGTCGTTACTCAATATTGACCTCATTGTTCACTCACACACATATATATCCAATAAATCAATAAATGTTCAATGTACTTTTCATTGTTATATGATTTATTGTTGAGCAGACGCTCCTAAAAGTTGTTCTCATGGTTGCTTTTAATTCTAAGTACTTTTGAAAATAATTTGTATCTATTTAATAATAATGTGATAGGATGATCAGTGCCAAAGGCTTTGTTATCTCTTTTTATCTTACAATATATACATAAACATATACATATTTTCAAGTTTATCTTCGTTATATATTTCCTAAAGTAGATTTATGTTTTTTGCTTTGTTTCTTCTTGGAGGGGAGATGGCTTTGTTTTTTTTTTTGTTTTTTAATAAGTAACTGTACTCAAAATTGACAAAATCTTACAGTGACATAGTGAAGTTGTTTATCTTAAGCAACTTAAAAAAAATTGCCACTTTTTGAAGAAGACAACATACTGTATTTTTGTATGTAAGATGATTTAAAAACATTAAAATAGAAATAACATTGAGATGTTTTTCTTTTCTACCTAGACTACTTTTAATCCTACACATAAAAACAAAAAAAAATAAGCAATAAAAAAAAAAAAAAAATCAGTTACTATTAGGTACTTTTCTTTTTGCACATGCTAGGTATATACTTATCTTAAACCTTTGTGTGAATTCTTCTACATCTTTCGAATGGTCTGTTGCTATGCCATCTTCACCTGGTGCTTTTCTGTATTTCACTTTTTAAAGCATAAACTTTATTCCATCTGTTGTTTCCTCGTGAATATCACTACTATCTGTCAGTATGGCTGTTGGCATAATTTTCAATGCATAGACATTTGTATAGTAATCCTCCATTTATGCTTAACATATTCTCTCTACATTTTGTGACTTAACCATTTCTGTCTTTCAATGCAAGCAATTGCTGTTGATTTGTGTTGGCTGCAGATCAGGTATGTTTTGAGCTCTTATCTTTCTTGAGAATTAAAAATTGGAGAGCTGCATTTGAATTCCAGTTGGGTTTGTTAGCTTTACATGCGCAAATACCCTTGGAAAATGTATGACTCTATCTCTTCTGAGAGTTAAATAGTAGCACATGTATCTGAAACGATCATTGTTCATCGCAAAAGATTAATACAATATTCACTCAAAAAAAAAAAAAAGAATTATTCTTACAATTCACACTGTTTCAGCATTAAATAACCTACAAAGGGTTGATAAGTCATAAAAAACAAATTGATTCTTGATATCTTTTAATCTTTCATCTTCATGTCTTAATTTTTGTTAATTAGATTAATTTTACATTTTCAATTTTATCTCTTAGCATTCATGACCATATTTCTCTTTATTTTTTTTATCAGTTTTAGTATTTCTTTTTATTTCTTTTTTTTTATTTTTATTTTATTTTTTTTTTTTTTTTTTCTTTATTTTTGGGCTATGGCTGAATCATGGCTCTCCATGTCTTTCATTTCTTTATCTGTGAATTGTTATGACATCCTGGGGGGAAAAATAGTTGAATGGTTTCCTGTTGCTTTCTGTATAGTTTTACAGTCAGTTTTCCTTCCTATAGACTGGTTGCCATCATAGCTATAGAGCCAAGTGTACCTTTTTATTAACCCATAAAGAGACAGATTCATGCCTTTTCCATGGGTATTAGTGTTAAAGTGAATGCAACTTATGAATTTAAGCATAGTGCAATGAAGTATCATCAATTTACAGTTGAGTTAGCTAGATATAACTAAGTTCTATGCTAACAGTTTCTTTTCTGGCTTGTGGACTCCAAGTCAACTTTAGTCTTCAAAAATTTGAATGCAATGTCAATCGCTATCTGGTGTCCTCCTTTTTTTTTTTTTTTTTTTTTTTTTTTTTTGCTCCTTAGTAATGTTTCTGTTTTCTGATTCTTCCCCTAATAATCCTTTGTGTCTCAATGGCTTTACTGCCTTGCTTGGGATGAACTTTCTTAAAAAAAAAAAAAAAAATCAACAGCAAACCCAGATTTGATCTTCTGTGCTGATAGCTGTTACACTACCTGCACAACATTGTGACAACACTACAATATTCCTTTTTCTTAGGGAAGAATTTGCTTCAATTGTGTCTCTATTTATGATCATTGTGGTTCTTTAATCTGTCATCTACCAATTTTAACTAGTTCTTTAACATATGCCAGCCATATACATCCTCACATGCCATGAAAAGAAAAGAGCTTTAATACTTATTTTTTTTTTTCCTTTTCTTTTCTTAATTGGTTGATTGTTTTGCTGAACTGAATTTTTTCAAGCAACTGAACTGAAATTTCTGTTTTGCTAAAGGCTTTGTTAAATTTTGTTTCACCCTAGTCCACTGGAAATGATCATATATAATGTAATTTTTCAAGTCCTACAAAATGATTTTCAAATCTTATTATTCAAGTCAATGCATGGGTCAGTCAGAAGTGGGATGGTTTGGTTTGCTACTGGTGCTTAGGTGTCTCATGAAAAAAAAAAAAAATGTAATAAAATAGGTATATGTGTACATGTTTTTTTTCTGTAAGTACCTTGAATTCACTTGTACAATATATATGGAAAATTATTTTTAAAATTTTTTGTTTCTTCCTCAGAGAGAACCGAGCCAAAAATGGAATTTGTGTGGCAAACCACACATCACCGATAGATGTCATCATTCTTTCATGTGATAACTGCTATGCAATGGTAAGTTCTTGCCTTGTGATTTTTTTTGGTCAGTTCTTTTTTGCCTGTCTGTTCTTTCTTTCTTTCTTCTGCATTACATTTTTGTTTCTGTTTTTGTTTTAGGTGTTGGTGCTCCAAGATTTTTTTTTTTTTTTTTTTCTATTCATTTTGGTTTGGATATTGTTTTTTTTGTTTTTTATTCTTTGATTTTCATTCTTTTTCTTTCCTTTTTGTTTATTCTATTTTCATTCATTTCTTTTTTTTTTTTCGTATTTTACTTTCTTCTACTTTTTGCTTTACTTTATTTATTTTTATTTTTTCATTACTGATTTGTAGGGAATTTTGTTTTTTCTTTAGTTTGGTTTAAATTCCTCCCTTTTTTTTTTTTTTTTTTTTTTTAATCACTTGAAATATTTTTTTCCGATTTGATATTTTAACCAGGAATTAGTTAAAATTGAGGACAAATAGTAAACTTAATATTTCTGTTTTAAAATCAGAAGAAATTAATTCCATTCTATAATAGGGCTATGTGTGTTCAGATTTGCTTAATATGAAATAAAGACATTAATTTTTTGTAGAAAACTCAAGAATATAAGTTACTTTTTTCATGGCTCAGCAAGATAAGCTATAGATTAATAGAACACATTTAATCTCTTAAAGTAAAAGGAAACTTGATGGAATAAAATGTCCTTGATTTAAATTAGATAAAACATTTTTAAGCTTAGCTGGAACCACTTGCTTGCCATTTTGAATATTTTTTTATTTTTCAAAATCACCTCAAGCAAGGTAGTAAATTCACTAAGACACAAGGGGTTACTGAATGTGAAAGAATTAGAAAACAAAAGCATTATTGAAGAGCAAGAACAATAAAAGAGTAATCAGGAAGACAGTAGAAAACAATTGACATTGCATTTATATTTTTGAAGATCAAACTTGAATGGAAAGTTGTAAGAGTGTTCCACAAGTGAGAAGTATGAGAAAAAAACTGTTAGCATAGAAGTTGGTTATATCTAACCAATTCAACTGTAAATTGTCAAGACCTTGTTTTCAATATAGTACTGTACCATAGCAAAGATCTCGTCCAAACAATTACCACAAAAGTGTTTAAAAACAAAAAAAAAACAAGGCACAGGGAAGCAATTTTTACAGCAGTGGGGAAAGTGACTGAAGTTGAGACAGTAAATCAGGACCAATGATATTGCTAATTTGTCTTTGGATTTTATCAAAAATCTCTAAATGTATAGCAGGAGTACCAGACCACATGTGACAGTGATATTCTAAACATGGACAAATGGTAGATTTATAGATCTGTAAGATAGATTCAGAAGAGAAAAATTGTCTAGCATAACACAGTGAGCCAACGTTCTTAGCAGCTGAACTAGCAATGGATTCAATATAGTCTTTCCACTTCATGTCAGCTGAGAACGTTAGCACAAGTCACTCTTCTGGATATTAGCATCAGCCATGCAGATGGAAAGCAGAAAGGGGTCTCTCAGATGATTTAACAAGCCATCCTTTGCCCCAGTTAACAACATCAGCATAGATAACAAAATTAGTCTGTTTTTCATGCTGGTTATTTTTATTCATTTTTCTTTTTTTTCTTTTCAGGTGGGCCAAGCTCAGGGAGGCTTCATGGGACTAATGCAGAGAGCCATGGCTAGGGCTACTGCTCATATTTGGTTTGAAAGGTCAGAGGTCAAAGACAGAGAAGCGGTTGCACGAAGGTAATATCTTCACCCAGTATATTTTTGTTTATTTACCTAGGGATGGGGACAGAATATAATAAGTCTTTAGCAGCTGTTAAAGATTATTGTATTTGATGGCATATAATAACCATAGCTGTAAGCTTGGATGTGCAGGTGATAGGATGGATAATGGCTTCGAATTGTTAATCGGACAGTCTAATTCCAATTCCCATTGGGTTTGTTATATTGATTTATACACAGATACCCTTGGGAAAAGTATGGATCCACCTCTTTCCCCCCAGCTATAGGTTAATTAGTAAGACTCTATTATCTACCCCCTGCCAAATTCTTACAATCTAAAAATATTTTCTGGCATTAAATAACTTGCAAAGGATTGATAAGCTGTAGAAAACAAATCAGTGAGTCAATCAATGAAATACTCTTTTAGATTTATTTACATTCTCTGGAATATGAATGTATAGAAACTACTGCAAGGAGGGATCAGTTTATATAATGATTGCAATATAAAATGGATCTCTGACTTTATATCCACATTATAATTTCTTGTTTTTCATATTCTGATTAGCTACGAATCCACCTCTTCTCCCCCAAATATGGGTTAATTAGTAAGACTTGTAACACTAAACCGTTATCTCCCCCCCCATCCCACAAAATCCTACAATCTAAAAATATTTTCTGGTTTTAAATAACCTGCAAAGGGTTAAGCTGTAGAAAAGGAATTGTGCATGTAATATATATATATATATATATATATATATATATATATACACACACACACACACACTGTATGACTCAAAAGAAGTATACCCTTTCTTAGAATTTTTCATACAGATATTTTTCAATTTTATCTGATTTATTCAACATAGAAAATTGTTTTCTATAATCACTGATAAAGTTTTTATTTTAGAAGTTGTGCATATATTGATCTCTGTTAAGGTCCAATGAAGATGTACAGTTTATTGATATGGTACTTGAGTACTGTTGACACAGCCCTGTCCACATATTGATCTGTGTATATGATCATTTTCTGTAATCCAGCTATATTATCTGTATTTTAATGTTGATTGAACTTAAACACATATTTAGTTTCATTTTCTATCAGTGTAGATCTTCTGGTTATTTATCAAACAATCCCCCCCCCCTTTTTTTTTTAAATCGATCAGATTTATGTCCTCTTATATGATTGCAGTTTATTATTTGATTCTGGGCTGACATTTGCTTTATTGTGTTGGAGTATCTTATGCCCAACCAAATCAGGTACAAGTGGGAGTGTTAGCTCCAAAGCTGGAGAGACAATGGTTGGTTGTTACTTTACCCTGAAGAATAACTTGTATCTTCCAAAGGTTTCCCTCTTCCCTTAGCTATAGTTCAGCATAAGATGAAAAGTATGCCTAATGATGGACCACCAGAGACTTAATAGTCACATTAATGCATTCAAAGCCAGCACTGATATCTGTGCAAATTGAGAGTGACATCATCAGGGCTCAAAGGTGTCAAGTCTTGAACCTGGTTGCACTTGCAAAAGAAATTTATTCTTATGAGTTTCAACTGACAGGCAGTGATGCACTGCCTTTGTTGAGATCCAACGTAGAACATATGACATAAAGTACAGGAGACATCATTTCTGTGAAAGTACTGCTAAATAGATGCATGTCCAAATTTAGAACTGGAAGAATTACCAGGATTGTTAGCTCGTAATTGGCAATTCTGCTCCGTGTTGAAAACTAAGCCTGATCCAAATTATTTTTGCTTTCATTTCAGATTAGAAGAACACGTTGAAGATGAACAAAAATTGCCAATCCTAATATTTCCTGAAGGTAAATGTTCTTGGTTGACTGTTGGCATGGATCTATTTATTTTTCTATCCATACCCAACATTTTTTCTCTTCTTCCTCTGTTCTCTCTACCTCCTCCTCTTCCTCTCTACCTCTTCCTCTGTTCTCTCCTCCTCTTCCTCTGTTCTCTCCACCTCTTCCTCTGTTCTCTCCTCCTCTGTTCTCTCCTCCTCTTCCTCTGTTCTCTCCTCCACTTCCTCTGTTCTCTCCACCTCTTCCTCTGTTCTCCTCTATTCTTTCCTTCACATCTTACTCCCTCATTTTAATTATCTCCACCTTTTTTTTTTTTTTTTTTTTTTTTTTCAAATGAAGAAAGGGATTTTCAGTGGTCAGGAATTATTAATAAAGACAACATATGTATGTTAATGCACATCTTGATGAATTGTGATGCAAGCCTTTCTGTCTCTAAAATCCAATTACTGACACTCCACATATTAAACAGGTAATTATTTGCATTTCTTTGTTTCCAGGCACATGTATCAATAACACTTCTGTGATGATGTTTAAAAAAGGTAGCTTTGAAGTAGGCAAGATTATTTATCCTGTTGCTGTAAAGGTAAGATGATTTAATTTACATTGGTTGGATGGTTTGCTTTGGAATGACGTTACATCATATTCTTGGATACAAATGATTTTGATAATCATTGACATCTTCTCGGATTTTTCTAACATTTTTTTGTAGATTCATTGAAGAAACATAATTCCATACCATAGAAAGATTAAAATCGCTTTTCTGTATTAAATGGCTGAACAGGAATTTTAACTTCTTGCAGTGAATTTTGGAGCCATCCTGAAGATTTGGATTTGCAAATGGCAACATTCTTGACTACATTTGACATAAGCATTTGGTCAAATTTAGAAAGCAAACAAATGTTCCGAAATGACCTTTCTAAAACTGGGTTGGATTTCATAAAAGTGGGAAAGAAAGTAAAAACATTGATAGTATGTTTTTATTTGGCATTGCTTGCAAAAAATAGTTTATTATGTGAAACTCTTTACATTCAACAATTAAATGTCACAACAATAAAGCAGATAAAACTTCAAAATTTAGAGCAATAAATTATTTTATTACTAGTTTTATTCCATCTTATTTTTTTACATTATTTACATGTGGACAATTGTCCTCATTTTTGTGGTCATCACAATGTTTCAGCTGTTCAGCCTTCATAAGGTGTATGTTGATCTGGGTAACCTACAGGGAATTTCAAACTGAATCCTTTATTTATTCTAGTCTATTTAGTACTGCTCAGTTCTTGCTCACCCTGTTTCCACTGAGTCCAAATACACACTGTCCATTCCAAGGATTGAACTCACACTTACTGTCACCAAACTCACAAACCAACACTTTAATCCACATGGAAAACTTGAAGGCTTAAACCTAACCTGCCTGCTGAGGAGTGATGCTGCTTGTCATGATTGACTGCACTACTCACTGAAGCTTTTCTCTTTTGTTACAGCTGCGAAAGTAATGTCATTTGTCTTTCTTTATTAGCATTTCCCATATCATATTTATTTTTATGCTAAGTCTACTAAAGTGGTCCTCATAGCCTACCATACATGTTGATTCCTTCAGACATCTCACTCTCCATTGTTTTACATTGTCCAGTATTTTTGCTCTTATTCTACAGGGGTTGATGGCTACCCTTTTTCCTCTATACATGATCAGCCATGTTTGATTTCATTGCCTTTCCTCTCATTATAGCTTTTCAATATTCTTCCAGCCTTACTTTTAGTGGGGACAGCTAGTTTCTTTTTTAAATTCTTTGCCACAACTGCAATGAATGGAGTACACACAATTCTTGGTTATGTCATTCCCAGTGTTAGGCTTGACTCTGCAGATATTTCTCCATAGGATGAAGCTGCTGCAAATGCTGAATATTGTTCTGATGTTGTCTAGGCTGCAGATCTTCAGCTTATTTTCTGGTAAGCTTTTGACCTAAGACAGACAGATCAGTGATTTTCTGGTCCTCCTCCTTGGAACAAGAACAATCTAACACTGTAGATTAAATTAAGGGTTCAGTTCAAAATTACCTGTAGGTTATCTGGATTGACATAGATATGAAGTCTGGAGGACACAATGGTTGAAATATGGTCATAACAACAACAAAGATGAAGACAATAGTCAACATATAAATAATTGCTCCTCATTTCAGAAATTCACAGGAATCATTTTACTGTTGCTTTTTATCCCAACACTCTGGCTCTATACACTCTTCATTATTACTATTATTTTATTACTAGTTTTATTCCATCTTATTATTGTTGCCTTTTATCCCAACACTCTGGCTCTATACACTCTTCATTATTACTATTATTTTATTACTAGTTTTATTCCATCTTATTATTGTTGCTTTTTATCCTAACACTCTGAAATCGATACATTCTTCATTATTACAATTATGTTATTACTAGTTTTATTCCATCTCATTATTGTTGCTTTTTCCCCCCAGTATGATTCCAGATTTGGTGATGCCTTTTGGAACAGCAGCAAAAAGAACCTTGTTTTACATTTATGTGACATAATGTCCAGTTGGGCTCTTGTTTGTGATGTTTGGTATCTTCCTCCAATGAGTAAAATGGTAAGTATTTGAAAATTGAGCTTTTTATTCCACAACACTTGCTTTCAAAAATTGACATATTTTACTCACAGGGTTTCAGTAAGCATTCTGTATAAGTAGCCATAAAATTGTCATCATAATCTTGACTTTATTTTATATGAAAGTCACTTTGCAAATCTAAATAAGGCACTACTTAAAGAGACTGGTCCCATCATAAAATATAGGGAAAATGTTTTGGGAATTAATTTTTATAGATTAATATTATTTACACCTTGCCAAGTCTGTAACACTTGTCAGAATCGAAACATATTGATTTGTTATTGACTTATAAGGTCCTGTTTTAATAGCAGGAGTGTCAAATCGATCTCTCTCTTTTATCTAGTTATTGGCATTAGGCTAAGTCACTTAACTGTTGTTTAAAGATTTGCTAACATTATTGATGTACACACACATACACACACACACACATAAATAATTTTCTGAATTTTTTAACCTTTTTCTTTAACTTTCTAATCACTTGTGTAAGTTTTTTTTTTTTTTTTTTTTTTTTAATCAAAAATGTTTATATCCATTTGTTCATTTAAAAGAAATCATTTTGTGACCCTCCCCTAAAAAGAAGTTTTTCATATGCAAAACAGCTAAATGCAATAACTCTGTAAGAGTCGGTGATTGGTTTGATACTTTATCAATATTATAAACAGGATCCATCTTTCTAAATTGATAACAAATCGATATTTTTCAAATTCTGACAAGAATGATCTAAAGATTGCTAATTTATTTACCAAAAAAAATTCTTTTTTCCCTGAATTTTAGTAAATTATCAACACTGTTTATTGATGTAATATTTCTAACAAGTTATTGCTTGAAGGAAAGGTTAAAAAAATCTTAAGTACCTCAGCAAACAAAATCTATAAGAAACATTTAATTAAGACCTGTTCACATTTTCTGTCTTGTGATATTTTTTTTAATTCAAATTTTTATAGGAGGGTGAAGATGCAGTGTCATTTGCCAACAGAGTAAAAGCTGAAATTGCCAGGAAAGGTGGCTTGGTGGACTTGGAATGGTCAGTACAATTAATATTATTACAGATATCACATGGAAAAATTCCATGGCAAATCTTTGCACTTGATGTACAGAACATGAATTTGGGTTGGCCAAAATGTTTTGGATTATTAAGTAAAAATATAAGATTTTTTTTTTTTTTTTCTTGTTTATTGAACACTAAATTTTTTTTTTTAATCTTTATTAAACACTACCTTCTGACAGAAAATACAATTGCAACACCCTAAATATATATTTCAAGTTAACCATGATTAAATTTTCAAATAATGTAGATGACTTATAGTCACATTATGGTCACATATTCAGATTGGAATGTGCACAGGTTTCAAAATATTTGTTGTACCAACAATACTCAGTTCCCATATTAATACACTATCTCTTCTTGCCTATTAACACAGGACCATTAAAAATAGCATTTGAGTGATAAAAATCTATTACTATAGAAATTGCTTTGTTTGAATATGAAATGGAGCAGATATGAAATTTTAAGAATTGATGATGAGGATTTTGCTTAAAGACTCTATTCAGCCTTTCTTGATCAGCAATGTCCTTCATGACTGAGTCAGTATAAGCATGTCAGATCTAACAATGATTTCTTCTACCAAGGGGGATGCATGTTTGAATTCTGTCAGAGGGTGCTTATTTTTCTTTTAATAAGATTTCTCAAATATTCTGGCTAGTAGATGATAATGAATATATTGTTTAAAAATATAAAAAAAACAGCAGATGGCAAATACTATTCTGTAATACATTATTTCATGGTGCTTTCAATTTTTAAGCAATGTCAAGTCTAGTCAGTACTTGGATGGGTGACTGTGTATTACTAGGTGTTGTAAGTTTGGATGTACAGGTGGTGTAAGGGATAATGGCTTCTAATTAGAAGACAGAGAGCCAGATTCCAATTCAATAGGGTTCATTCATTCATTCATATGCAAATACCTTTGGGAAAGGTATATGAATTCGCCACTTCTCCTTCCATCTATGGGACTTGTATTAGTAAAATCATTATTATCTCAAAAACATTCTTACACTCTTGAAATATTTTCTGGCTTTAAATAACCAGCAAAGGTTGATAAGACAAAAAAAATCAACTGTTGATGCTATACTGCCAGAGTGATAATGGGCTGACTGAACACCTATAATGTCTCATACATGTTCAATTGGCGACTCTTAGACAAGAAATTGAAAATACATGTGCAGCAATCCCACTGGACACTTTGCCCAACATTGCCCAATCAGTAGTTCACTGTACTAATAAATATCTGGAAGCTAAAGGTCACCATTTTAAGCATCGGGGTAATAGCAGCTCAGATTGAGGAATCAGAGAGCTGAATTCGAACTCAACTCGGATCCATTACATTCACTTATATGCTAATACCCTTAGGAAAGGTATGAATCCTGTTCTTCTCCCTCCAGCTATGGGTAAATAGCAGGACAAACTGGGTTCTTTAACAACCAGTCTAGGAGAAGGAAAAACTCTGAATTCAAAACTGGCCTCAGCTCCGTCAGGCTATGGGGGCTCCCTTCTTGTTACTTAACCTACTTAGGGAGCCATTTTCCTCTTCCCCTATCCCTTTGATAGTATTCTTTAATGGCTTGTGATTGTAGAATTCAAAGGAAACTTTTGTTAACCTCATGATGTCTGAATCCCTGAATTAATGTTTGAATAAACTTAGTATTACATTATCTACAAGTTTTTCCTTTCCTGAAGTGTGTATACATTTTTTGGTGGACTCTGTTCTGTATGTGTGTGTGGTATATATTTTAGTGGATATCTGAATTTTCTTTTTAAACAATGTTTATTTTGTCTATTGTCATGCACACTCAAGAAAACTTAATAAAGACAATGTGGAGTTGGGCTCTTTGGAAACTGATGATTCAGTTGGGAAAAGCAAAATGGAGGGGAAACAAGATGTAAAGTAAGAAAGTTGGAGGGTAATTAAGAAAGCTAGAAAAAAAAAATGAAAACAAAGAGAATGGGATCAAGATAAAAGGATGACTTAGAGGAAGAAAAGGAAAGTGTGAAACAAGAAAGGTATAAGGCAGGGGTATTCAAACAAGGTCTAATCACACCTGGGGGGGGGGTGACGAGGAGTTCCAGAGGGTTGATGATGGTCAAGGGGTTGAATGGGGGTTGGTATGCGACTGAAACTGGGCTAAGTTTTAGTTAGCATACATGTATGTTGTATTCTTCGGTGCAGATGAAAGAAAGGTGCTGAGATTGACGATCAACAGAATCAAAAATCTCGGTTACATCTGTCCAAGTAGTTTTTAACTTATCTTGATAACTTATTTAATGCTATATTGATCATTGCTTGCTCTTTTTTTTAATTCTTTTTTGAGGGGAAAATTCTGAACCTGATAATGCTTTCGATCCAAATTTTTAACTTTTTATACATTTTAGTTAACATTTTAATTGCCAACATCAGTGCGAGTTTTAAGGTTCCACTGCCCATGTCTAGGGATATCTTGTTTGGTTCTTATTTTATTATAGAAATTTGTTTAATAATTAAGTTTTTTTTTTTTTTTTTTTTTTTTGTATTTTTATATAAAATAAATAATATATCAATAACCTAAAAAATCACCCTTTATTAAATAAACAGTATAGAATATTCTACAATTCAAATCATTCATTTAACTTTGCCATTGTTAAATTTAAAAAAATACTGAATGACATCATGTTTAAAATAGAAATGCTAAAATATCAGCATATTTTGTGCTATGTTTTCTAAGGCTAACTATTACATATGTTTTAATTGACAAATATCTTTGCTTATATAAAAAGTACAGAAATAAATTTTCTCAAAAACTTTCCTTGGAGCATGTTGAAGTAGAATGCTTTTGGTTTTAAGAATCTAAATATTGCAGTTTAAAGCTGGACACACATCCAAATGCTGTTTATTATAAAATACATTTGATAAAAAGATTATATTGAATCAATTGCTAAGAACGTTGGTTCACCATCATGCTAAGCAATTTTTCTCTCCAGATTCTATCTTTCATATAATATAAGTCTACTATTCATCCTTGCTTTGAATATTACTGCCACATTTGGTCCAGTGCTGCTGCTGCTATGTATTTAGAGATTTTTAATAAAATTCAAAGAAAAATCCACTTTGTTATTGGTCCTGACGTGACATTAGTCACTTTCCCACTGTCATAATGTAGCTTCCATGTGTCTTTTTTATAAATACTTTAATTGCTTTGATGAACTTTGCTCTATGGTACCTAGACTTTATAAATTTAAGCACAGTACAAGACTGGCGATAAGGTCTCATCAATTTACAGTTGAATTGGCAAGATGCAATTGTAAGTTCTATGTCAACAGTTTCTTCTCTCACACTTCATGCTTGAGGAACTCTTTTCCAGCTCCATGCTTTCAAGCCAACTTTGATCTCCAAAAATTTAAATGTAATGTCAATCATTATCTACTGTCTTCTTGATTCCAAGTCTTTTATTGTTCACTTTTTTTGTTAATAATGTTTCTCTTTTTCTTATTCTTTCACACTCAGTAACCTCCTTGTGTCTTAGTGGCTTCATTGCCTTACTTGGGGTGATACAAAAAAAAAAGGAAATGTGAAAGCATAATTTCTCAGTTTATTTATATTAAATTTTTCATTGATCAGATTTCCTCTTTGTTTTCAGGGATGGTCAACTGAAGCGAATGCAAGCAAAGAAAAGTTGGCAAAAGAAACCTCAAGAACAATATAGCAAGACTATCAAGATTGATTAAGAATTAGTACCAGGCTTGATGTCACCCTGATTGTAGCTGAAAGCCAGTGTTTCAATTGGCTGTCTCTAACAAAAAGAAGAGAGAGAGCTAAGACAAAACTGAACTGTATCTCACTCATAGTCAACACATCATTCCATCCTAACAGGATCTCATCTCTGACTCTACTGACAAGCCTGTCTCAGTTGAACAGAAGCCCAAGTATAAGGCTTCTGTATTTATAGCATTGCAGTTCCCAAATTTTCTATTTCTGAGCCTCTTCATCATTGCTTCTGGGTGACTTTCTAATTGTGGGGACTCAGCCAGAGGGTTTCTGATCATTTTCCCATACCACACACTGCCAAGTAATGACTTAATCGTCAAATCAGACTCTTTGACTTTGAAGAATTTGTTTTAAAGGTGCATACTCATGTCTGATCAGACGTGTTTTAAATGAATTGCATACAAGCTAAGAGTTAACTCTCCTTAAATGGGTAGAGTTGGTGAACGATTGGTTGGCACCTTTAACTTGGAAAGAAAATGTTCAAATTCTTGAGTCTTAATAGTGCCCACAAATTTACTGCATTCCAAACAAAACTTTTTAAAAAATTGTATGGTGTGCAACTTTTAGACTCAAATTGTTTCCAATGCCCATATTGGTATTTCAAGTAATATATGAAACCAAAAACTTGGTGCATTCTAATCTCTAGGCGTATTTTATATATATATATATATATATATATATGGGATGTGCCTGAATATGTGTGATGTCTTTCATATGCATGTCAATGCTTGTGTGTGGTATGTAATGATGACCAGAGAGCACACCATTTAAAATCTTGTGACCAAATAAAGGGAAAGCTACAAGATTGAGGTTATTGGTTTAGATGGATTACTGGGCTGCATTTATCTCCCTTGTCTCTCTCTCTCTCTCTTTCTTTCTCTCTCTTTCACTTACCCCACTTCCCACAAGAATTGGCAATTGATCCAATGATTCTGAAAATTGACAAAAGCAAAACAAAAATTTCTCTAACGAGGAAAAAGAAATGAAAACCCACAAGAAATCGATTCAAGTTAGGAGGAACGTTGTGTTTTGTCCACACAATTTTCCTTCCCTCTGTCACAATCTCCCCATCTTCCGAAACTGACCATAGTATTAAGCAATGTGTGACCACTGCTGACCAATGAAATGAAGGCTGCCTGCTTCCCCCCCCAACAGGGAAGCAAACCCAACTTAGCATGTCTACAACTACTTAGACAATATAATAAGCATATCTTTTCATGTTTTCCCCATTGCAAATGCCCTAACCATTCAAATGTTGAAGACAATGTTGTGGTGTCTACTCTCTCTCTTTGGAGAGGAACTGCAACAACCACATCCAGGAAATAATAAATCTACACCAAAACAATTACAAAAAAAAAAAGTTCATGAGAAATTGCATTAAATATAGAGAAAAATCATCCTTTTGCTTTGTTTATACTTTTGTTGGAATTTTCTTTTAAGTTAAAGCTGAAATTTTTAAGCAGGGGGGAGAAAAAAAAAAAAAGAAGACGTATACAAAGAACTTAGCCACACTGGATTAAATACTACCCGGGAAATAACCATTTACATATGGGGCATTTCTGTCCCAAATTATGAAATCACCATTTCAATTTTTTTTTTTTTTTTTTCTGGGTATTAATATTTATATACTTACGCACGCCTACTACATGCTGGCGACTGGAGAGACTAATTTTAAATGACATTTTGCTCTTTTTGGATACTGAAAAAAGAAAAACTAATTTTAAGTAATTCTGTAAATACAAGAAAGAAAACCTTCACTTTTCAGATTTTAATTCTATTTTTGGGTTTGTTTTATTTATTTTTATTTATTTTTTTTATATTAACACTGAAAAGTCTGTGATTTAAATAAAAACACAAGAAGACAAAAACCAGCAGCCACGAGTGCCATGCTCTACAATTTGTATGATCCACAAAAAGACTTGTGCCATTGCATTCTAGTCTCCAAAATGCAATGCTCAATTTCCTATACGCAGAAGAATTATTTTGTCTTTTTTCCCCCTCCCTCTTTGCAGTTTTTATTCTTTTCTCTTTGTGGATTTAGCTTTGATAAGGAATTGGCGAATTGCTTCTAAAATCCATCTTTATTCAACAGCTCAATTTACTCGATTAATTACTTTTCTTTACAGTGTAAGATGTTAGTTATTTTATAGTTACGATGAGAAAGTCAATTTGGTATACAAAAAAAGTTGTAAAATGTCTTATATTAAAATTTCTTGACACGTAGCCTACCTTTTTGATTTATTAGAAAAGAAATTTCTTTGTTTCAATTTCAGTCAGGAAATTTTTCTTTAATTTGAGGAAAATGAAAACATTGTATTTCTGAGAATCAACCTAAGCAATTCAAGGTCTTTGTTAATAAATAAATAAATAAAAAAATTTTTTTTTTTTTTTTTTTTTTAATTTTTTTAAAATTATTCCTGAACCTGGGTGAATATTAAATTTGAATTTGTATTGATCCAAAAGTTACAAAACAGCTTATAATTGTATGATATCTGAGGTGCAGTAATTAGAGAACGACAAAGAGGCCTCCACCAGATTTGACCATGGATTTGATCCCACCCATCTGTTCTTCTGGAACATCACCACCTGTGGCTGAACAGGCTGATGCACGAGTGGCAGTCTCTGTCACACAAGCCACACTTGTGAATTGTCTGTGTGTTGTCTATGCTGCAGCATTCTTTTCTGCTTGTCTTCTGTTGTGTTGTTTAGTGTCTCCTCTTCTAACATTAGTTGTTTAGTCATTGTGCTTCTCCACCCAGAACGGTCAGCAGCAAGGCCCTCCCGGTGGTCACTGTTGATCTCAAGGGCCTTCATGTCACTCTTAGAGACATATCTGTAGCACAACTGAGGGTGACTGCTGTCTCTTTTACCATTTGAAAGTTGCCTGTAGCAAGGCCTTTGGGAATTCAACCATCCTCCATATGATGAACCTGACCCAGCCATTGGAGCCTGTGCTGTCTCAGCAGAGTGAATATGATTGTTAGGCCGGCACAAGACAGAACTTCAGTGTTAGGCACTTTGTCCTTCCACGATATGCCCAGAATGCAGCTAAAACACCTCAAGTGAAAAAATGTTTAGTCTATTCTTCTGTTTGACATGTTGTCCATGTCTCGCTCCTGTAGAGAAGTGTTCTTATGACGCAAGCATATCTTTATCTTGACAAAGAGCTTGGAGTTCTTCCACATTCACTTGGTGAGGCGAGTGAATGTGGTTGTTGCTTTCTCAATACTCTTGTCTATTTCTGTGTCCAGGGTGAGGTCGCTGCTGATCATAGACCCGAGGTGCATGAACTGGTTCACAACTTCCAGCTCGTAGTCAGTGGTGATGATTGGTGGCACATCTACAGTCTGTCCTAGGACATTTGTCTTTTTCAGGCTGATAGCCCCAAGTCCCTGCAGGCCTAAGGGAAATGATTCATCAGAGTTTGAAGCTCTTTTGTGTGTGGGCTGTGACTGCAGTATCATCCGTAAACAGCATGTCTCTGATCAGAGCCTCCTGTACTTTTGTTTTGAACTTGAGGTGTGTGAGATAAAACAGCCTGCTGTCCAATCTGGTGTGAAAGTAGACCCCCTCTGTTGTAGCATCAAAGGCATACTTCAAGAACAAGGCAAAAAGATCCCAATGAATGTTAGGGCAAGGACACAGCCTTGTTTGACGCTGCTGTGTGTCAAATGGCTCCGATATGCTTCTGCCATACTGTACTGTCTCTGACATGTTGATGGGGAAAGATTCAATTGTAACAATATTTGACATGGCATACAGATGAAAAGGGTCAAAGAAAACGATTTTTTTTTCCAGAAATGGATTCATTTTCCCAGGATATTGAGAACATGTTGGAAAAAAAATACAAAATACTATTATTGCTGCCTGGCGAGAGACAGTGGACAGATGCAGGAGTCGGGGGCTAGTGGTTAAAGTTGTCTGTTGAAAGGTGTCAGTGTCCATGTACTGGGAAAATTGTCAGCCAAAATTTCCCTGATTAAAAATTATAATTGTGAAAACAGAATGAGCAATGGTGAAGGCAAGGGAGATGTCAGGAAGGCTGACGTCATATGATGGCTCCTCCTGAAGGAGGGGGAATCTTCCAAAATTGGAAGTGTGAAACAGAAAATGAAAGGAGACTGGTTGAATTTTAGGATATTTGCATAAAACCCCCCTTATGCACCCTCACCATACCAGTAGAAAGGGACGCCCATAAATATAAGTGCCCACAGGGGCTAAAGTAGTTGGAGTTAGTTGTGGCCTGGAGTTGCAGAAGCTGTGTTGGGGAGTTAGATTTTTTTTGCCATAATACTATTTTGCCAACCTAATGATGATAATAATAATTATCTGCTGAAGAAGAAAAACTCTGCCGATAACCTTGTGTCGTTCTTGAAAGTACAAACAACAGTACTTGAAGATAAATCCAATTGTCAAGTTTGGTCACAGAATGAAAATTTTGGCTAACTTAGAGAAGTTAGCCAAAATTTTCATTCTGTTGCCAAATATTAAAAATGGGTTGGGAAAAGCAGAAAAAAAAAACTGGGAATATTTATTTTTTATTTTGTTATAAATATCATCTAGTGACTTATTCAGGCGTCGTCTATTCTAATTTCAATTTTGTGTGCGCCTTTATTAGAAGTCTTGTACTCGGCAAGAGTGGCACACTTAGCTACAATGATGGGTGTCATCTCAAAGGACTTTGTTTCAAACCATTCATGAAATTTAGAGGTTTAGTAGTCAGTGCTATGCAATAGATGGTGGTTCATAGCTCTTCCCACTTCTGTGTTGCCAACACTCTGGACTGCAAGATTCCGAGATCCTTTTTGAAGGTGGCCGCAAATTGCTTCACAAGCTCTGTTTTGAACATCTTGGTCATGCTAATGTGGGCCTTTCCTTGCTGTCTGGCACGGTGGAATTTTTTTCAGTAGCATCCCGGTCCTGCAACATGCCAAAAAAATGGTCTGTATCACAGTCCACA